ATGAAGAAAGTAGAGAAAGTATGTAGGAGAAGTGAAGTAGTTGATCGTGTTATTGTTCTAGCTAGAGGGGGGAATGCCCCGTATTTATACTAATGAAAGGTAGTACAAAAGAAATATAATGAGTCATGAACGTGTGAGTAATAGAATGACTAATAGGAAAGTGAGTCATACGCCGATGACAAATACTATAATGAAATGATGAGAATCTTCCAGAACTATGAAATGTGCCGAGCGCCCTGTTTCAAGACTTCCCCTCGTGAGCCACAGTGAATAGCAGAAGAAAATAAAACATGTTTGCCTTTATCCAATCCCTTTGTAAGTAAATCCGCTACGTTCTCGTTCGTAGAAATATATTCCAGTTCAAATAATTCATCCTCAAACCGTTCCCGAACAAAATGGAAATGTACGTCAATGTGTTTAGACCTTTTATGAAAGACAGGATTTTTAACCAAAGAGAGGGAGCCGTTGTTGTCGCCTCGTAAAATAAAAGAGAGATTCGGTTTTCGTTCCAGCTCGTGGATTGCATTCCTTAACCAGATCAGTTGTCGACTGGTGTCTGAGAGGGCCATGTATTCCGCTTCAGTTGTAGAAGTGGCGACGGATCGTTGCTTATAAGAGCGCCAGGAGATGAGAGCTTCCCCTAGCATGAAGCAGTGGCCGGTGAATGAGCGGCGATCGTCGATGTCGGAGGCATAGCTTGCATCACTATAGCCAATTAGTGCAGTTGGTGGCGTTTTGGCGTAGAAGAGTGACCAATCGAGGGTACCCTTGAGGTAGCGAAGGACGCGATGGACTGCAGCTAGATGTGCCTTGGTGGGACAGGAGGAAAATTGCGAGAGCATGGTGACGGTGTAAGCGAGGTCGGGTCTAGTGCCGATTACTGCATACATGAGTGAACCGATTATCGACTGATAAATTATTGGATCGTCGATTTTCTCAGATTCCGTTCCTTTTTGGAGGTGGACGTTATTGTCGATGGGTGTTGCCACAGGTCTGGATTCGTTGAAGCCGTATTTGATAAGTACACGCTTGAGATAGGCTTCTTGTGATAGGATGATGCCAGTCTTAGTGTGGATCAGATGGATTCCGAGTGCCCAGTTGGCTGTGCCAGTTTCCGTCATTTCGAATTCCGAGTGGAGGAGGAGGCTGACGCGGTTTTTGCGTTCAGCGGACCAATAGAAGATGAGGATGTCGTCCACGTATATTGCAATGACAACTTCCCCTGTTTTGTGTATAAAGACACAAGGGTCGAAATCTGCTTTTCTGAATCCTATTTTGATTAGCGCTTTTGAGAGGCGGGCATACCATTCCCTTGAGGATTGTTTGAGGCCGTAGATGCATTTGATTAGTTTGCATGCTTTGCCGGGAGTAGGATAGCCTGGAGGAGATTTCATGTAGATTTCTTCCTTAAGTTCGCCGTATAGAAATGCGCTTGTGACGTCCATCTGATCGCATTGGCCACCGGTTTGAAGGCAGCGAGCGAGGAGTAGTCTGATGGATTCGTATCGGGTGACGGGGGCATAGGTTTGATCGAAATCTTGACCAGGGACCTGTGAGAAACCTTTTGCGACTAGTCGGGCTTTGTACCGTATGGGGTTGCCATCGGGCCCGAGTTTAATTTTGTATACCCATTTGCAGTCGACCAGTTTGCGGTGATCCGGTGTGTTGACCAGATTCCATGTGTTATTCCTTGCGAGTGAGTCGAGTTCAACTTTCATAGCATTCTGCCATTTTTCGGAGTCCGGACTGTTGATCGCTTGGTGATAGTTTGTTGGTTCTGTTAGGGTGGTGTCATGTTGGATGTTGTGTCCGTATCTGACCGGAGCTTTCCGTTCCCTTGCTGGGTTACGTCTCGGTTGATCAGTATCTGTTTCATTATCATCATGCGGGGTACGTTCAGTGGCGGGCCTCGTATAGCCGGCCCCCACTATACTTGCGTGGTCTTCCGAATCAGTGTCGGAGAAATGTTCCATGGTTTCGCGCATTATCTGTTGGTTGATCATGTCGTCGTCACTTGGGTCGTCGTCGTATGTTCTATGTTGTTTTGGTGTTGACGGACGTGAGAGTGGTTCTTGTTTGATCTCGATTTGTTTTGGTTTAGGGGGTGTGTCGGTTTTTGTTTTGACTTCGATTTCTTCCCCTACGGATGTACCTTTAAACCTAAAATGACGAGAGAGAACTACTTTCCTTTGTAATGGTATGTAGACGCGACAGATTTTTTCAGAGTCTCCGTACCCGCAGAATTGTCCCGTTATTGCCCTTGCGTCCAGTTTTGTTCCTGCTGGTCGTGCTTCGACGGGTATGTGTATGAACATTGTTTCACCGAAGGATCGGAGGTGCCCAATAAAGGGTTTCTTGCCGGTAAGTGCTTCGTATGGTGTCATATTCGGGAGTGACTTATGCGGGAGACGGTTTTTGACGTGTACCATGGTGTTGATCGCTTCTGCCCATAGATTTTTTGGGAGGTTGTGGTCGAGCAAGGCGGATCGTGCCATTGTTGCTATAGTCCTGTTGAAGCGTTCTGCTGTTCCATTTGACTCGTGAGAGTAAGGTACAGTGAATTCATGCTTTATGCCTTTGAAGGCAAAGAATTGTTGAAGGTCATTGGAGATGTACTCGCCACCGTTGTCGCTTCGAAACCGTTTAACCGTTTTGTCCAATTGATTTTCCATGTATGCGATATATCGTTCCGTGGCAGCTGCTGCATCTGACTTCTTTTTAAGGAAGTACAGGTGAGCGTACCTAGAGTAATCGTCGATGAAGGTGATATAGTAACTAAAACCGCCCAGAGAAGGAGTCGAGAACTTGCCGCTCAGATCTGAGTGTATTAGTTCCAGTGGTTGTTTGGATTGTGGTTCGGTGAGGGGAGCGAGGTGAGACTTGGTTGATTTGGCGAGTTCACATGTGTTGCATGTTTCCATGTGACCAGATGTGGGGAGAGACTTGGGGTCGGCGACCATGGTGCGAAGCCGTGAGAGCGAGGAAGCGGGGAGATGTCCGAGCCGTTGGTGCCAGTCATAGAAGCTGGTGGCGGCAGAGAGGTGTGCGCAGGGTTCCTTGGTTTCGAAAATGTAAAGACCAGTACTATTTGCGTTAGCGATCCCGATGATTTCCTTGCTGTTTGGTTTGTAGATGGTAAAGCCGTCTTCCGTCCCAGTTGTGGTGAATCCCTTTTTAGCGATGCAAGACCAAGACATCAGGTTGGTGTTGCCTAATTCGGGGATCAAGAATACATTCTGCAGAGTGATCAGGCCATGTGATCCGTTGATGGTGACGTTGCCAATTCCGGTTATCTGGAGTTTGCGACCTCCTCCAACGGTAACTGTTCCAGTGTGGGGAGTTGGGTCGGTAACCAGCGTTCCGGTCATGTGGTTGGTTGAACCAGGGTCGAAGATCCATGCCTTGTTGTCGGTGGTGGAAGGTCCTGCAATGAAACCAAAGTAGTCTTCCATGGTAATATCCGAGGTGTCATCTGAGATGTTGGTGAGGTCGAAGTCAACCGGCATTGTAAATACATCGGTTTCTTCGAGTGCGGGTAGGCCAGAAAGATCGGGGATCCAAGAGAGGTCAAGTTTTGTGTGAAATGCAGTACCAGACGCGACGTTGAGATTGCCAGATGCAGCGGACTTCTCCTTGTCTCTGAAAGCTTTGAGTTTCCGGCAATTTTTGTGCGTGTGGCCTTTTGCATATTCTCCATTCTTGGTGCACCAGGTGGATGTGACGTCCCGATTTCCTGTTTCGTTGTTGCGTGGCCTCCTGACTCTGTTGTTGTTTCCGTGTCCTGGGTTTCCTCGCCTGATTGTGTAGGCTTCTCCAGCCGCTTGTCCATCGTTGTTGCGCCGTGAGTCCAGATCCAACAGCTTTTCGTAAACGTCATCGAAAGTGACGTTGGGCTTGGTTTGTAGGTTATCTACGACTGATTCGAGGGATTCGTGCCGGAGTGAGAGGAGTAGGAAGGATGCCTTCGCTTCTGAGACAGATGCGAGTTGGTGAAGGTGGTAACCGAGTGGGTCTTTGGTCTTGTCCGTAGAGTTACTAGTTCTAGTGAGGAGGGATGACCAAAGAGTGTTAAACTGGGTTAGATGTTCCTTGATGCCCTTGTCGGGTGTGTACTGTAGGGTTACGACATTAGCGAGGAGCGAGTGGAGGGATGCGACGGTTTTCCGATCGAATCTGTCCTCGAGTTGAGTCCAGAGGTGATGTGCGGTGTCGGCTGGTGTCAGCGTGAGAATAACTTCGAATTCGATGTTAGATTGGAGGAATACGACCGCGAGGTTATCCTTTTTGTCCCAATCGCTGATTTCTTCGGCATTGTCGGAGGTTTCTTCTTCGTCTTCATCAGCCTCGGCTGCGCTTCCTGTTGCTTGTGGTGCCGTTGTAGGTACAGTAGTGGTGGTGGTTGTCAACACGGGACGCTTACTCGAACCATTGACCAAGTTCCACAGATCGTGAACTTTCAACATGCGGGTAGCAAGGTCCCTCCATACAGTGTAATGGCCTTGACCATCCAGCTTGCATGGGAGTGCGGGAATTTTGATGCTCCTCTCAGACATGATTGAAAGTGAAACGAGAAAGTGTACTTTGTGGTAAAAATGGTGAAGAGTGTATAAGCGTGAGTGGTCTCCGGGCTCATAACCTAGAGAAAGTATGTAGGAGAAGTGAAGTAGTTGATCGTGTTATTGTTCTAGCTAGAGGGGGGAATGCCCCGTATTTATACTAATGAAAGGTAGTACAAAAGAAATATAATGAGTCATGAACGTGTGAGTAATAGAATGACTAATAGGAAAGTGAGTCATACGCCGATGACAAATACTATAATGAAATGATGAGAATCTTCCAGAACTATGAAATGTGCCGAGCGCCCTGTTTCAAGAGAAAGGCCTACTATATAAGCAGCAGAATATAGTACACCTGGACTCGAAAGCTCCAGTACTCGATAATCAAAACCTACACTCAGGCTCCCAAAGGCGAACCCCCATCCCATGAAGAACCCCTTACCCTCACACCAAAACATCAAATATATCATCCACAACCCCCTCCCTCCTCAACCTCCCCATCCACCTCCTCTCATAATGCGCCCAACAGATCGCCTTCCTCCCATCCCACCCCTCCTCTTTCCACGCCTGCACAACCCTCCACAACACATCCATCTCCCTCTCCGCCACCCGCGCACAGATCCTCAGCCGCTGCATCTCCGCCCTCACAACCCCCCACACATCTCCCACCTCCTCCTCAGCGAACAGAATACCACCGCGGAACACCCTCCGCGCCCACTCGCGGCCTGCCGCAATAGACATACCTCGGGGTGCAGCACGGAGCTCGTAGACTACCCGGTTGTAGTACCGCACCGACAGGCGCTGCAGGGAGAGGTGGATGAAGACGGACCAGGCGGCCTTTTGTGTGTACTCCGGGTGCTTTTCGAGGTATTGGAGGTGGGCGGCGTAGTTGGGGTGGTCGCCTTTTACTTCGATGAGCGCTGCGAGGGCCGATTCTGGTGGTGGTGGCGGGGAGGGCGCTGGCGAAGCGAGGCGCTTTTTGGCGTTGCGGGTGGAGCGGGTGCGCATGATGCTTCCGGGTGGAGCGGAATTAAACTGGAGAGAGGAACGGAAGAGAGAGGGATGAAGGTCATTTTGAGGTTTTTGAATGAGTGGACAGCTGGCAAGACTTCCGAGACCGGGGTTTGGGAGACGGTGACAACTGGTGCCATATTCCTGTTAACTGGCAAGAGGGACACATCTTCACTGCCGGAAAATTTGATCTGGGATTTTTTGGTCTGTTTGAATTGCCTGCTTCCCCGATATCTTACCGGAGTGGAGAACCCCGTACTTATGTTGGAAACCGGGGAATAATCAGTTCTTTGCTTTGGATCATTCAAAGCCGCTGCACGTTTTTAACTAACCACATGTACCTATAATGTGACTGTGTTTGGCTTACCTTCGTATGATAGCTGATATACAGATAATGGAATTCCTTCTCTGTCCCGGGAAAACATGATACAGGTGGGGTTTTCGTGGGGTATAATGGGAATATTCCCGGCAGAATAGATAGAAGCTGTGATTATAAGGTTTCACAAAGCGCGGGCAATTTATATCTTTGTCACTATTTAGCACCTTCTCTCTCCTTTCCCACCAGCATAAATGACCATGGGCCATCCCGGCCATTGTCTGGAAGGACCGAGTGATATCGCATGAATGAGTACATCACAACTTGGATGAATATCAGCCTTGACAACAAGGATTGCAAATTAAGAGACGAAAAACATGCATAATCCTGAGTAATGGTCATGATTATGCCTAAAATAGGCTAGATTGGGGCTAATTTGAGTAAACTGGGGCCTTTCCCCCGGAAACCAGACTCATAGAAATACTAATTCCAACTCTAAAGCAACCACCAGCGAATTTCATGATTATATTAGCGCCAGAAGCTTTTATAAGCCACGTTAGAGCTTAAATAAGGCTGAGATTCGCCTTTTTTGGCAATAAGCTCTTCTTGCGTTTTGAGTTCCTTGTAAACATGTTATTTAAGGATTGTTTTTATTTACGCTGATAATCTTAGGAGAGGCTCAAAAAGTATCTTTATAAAGTAATAAATCTTTTCTAATGTTAAATTATAATAGCCCTCGTTCGGCGTGGTGGGCGAATGAAAATGATGACTTGTCTATCGAGACGGACAAGGAATCGAAGCCGGGCCCCCGACCGGTGATGTAGATGGCTTGGTTTGTGGGAAAAGAGGAGCTTGATGGCTGTGAAGATATGGAGGAGAACATTTGGTGTATCTCTTTAACTTGTAGAACGCTAACTGTCCTCCCTAGCGCTACATGTATATACATGTACATGTATGAGCACAGTGTTGCTAAGTATGAACTAACCACTACCGGTAATGCAGTAATCTATCCTTGTAAGAATGGACGGCAGACATATATGGGGCTGCATTACAGTTGTCCTCTATTACCAGCTTAAGCCTGCATGTACCTCTAGCCTCCACTATTGCTGTTATATCTTACTAATTTCACCCCACCACCGTTAAGCGGAGACCCCGGAGAGTTCTGCGTGAGGGCCGGGGTTAGGGTTACTATTGGCATTAAATTTGTATCCATTCCCAATGTTCTAGAATCTTCAAACCTCAGACAAAGGAATCAAGGGTAACTCTGAAACGAGTGTGATTGTGGGCGGGTGTATATATACTACCCTACACCCTCCCACCTCTCCCTTCACTCCTTCTTCAAACCACGAATCAGAGGATACCTTCGCTGTCAATGTGAGTCCTCCATCACTCCAAGATACTTTCGGTGGGATTTGAAGACCATTAGGTCTAGAGAATGGTAATACCATGCTCAGTTCGGCAGTTTACCACCAACGACCCACCATCCCTCACTTCTACACCTCCGGGAACTGTCAACCATTACCGACAACAACCAACGCCACTACCCAAGTAAATCAACAACCCAGAAATTTAAATACAACAACAAGTTTCTCGCAAACAGGCCATGGCACAAAGCTAAGCCCCTCCTGCCACCCACGTCGTCTCCCTTCATTTTCCTGCTCCCCTTACAACCTCTTATCCGCACAACCTCTGGTGCACCAACCCATTGGCTCGGCGCGCCAGACACTATCGCAGGCGGCGCGTGGGACCTATAAGCTCGCCTGACGCTTAGCCTACAAGTTAGTCCCACCAGCGGCAGATGACCCATGAGCTCGTCTGTTGGCTTCGGTGGGGGAGTGGTTGTGCGGATTTGAGTATGTTTTGGACGATTTCTTTCTCCTTGGCGGACTGTGGTACTTGTAATAATGGGGAACTGGAAGCGGATGCGTAGGTGTGGGAGGGGTTGGAAGTGTCCGAGGTGTCCGAGGTGGGGCAAGTGGACGGTAGGACGGAGGGCGCGTGAGGTAGAGGTAGGCATGGGCCGAGAGCTGTGCTCTCTAATTGAGGCGTATCCAGATAACAACATCCCCGATGTCGGCACCCCCGGCGAAATTGATCTATCTTCTGTGACGTTTACGGTACGTTTAGACCACCGTATTGAAATCACCTATCCGTACCGCACTTTGAGGATCCGCCTGGCCTGAACGGACACTCACGTCCGGAATAGTAGTTCTTATTTCATTCCGACAAAATCGGCGGTGTGGGGTAAGTTGTTTCTCTCATCTTTCGATATTGTCCAACTCGTACTAGAGTGTGGTCAGCCGAGTGTACAATATCTACGTTAATTAATTCAGGCGATTCAAATACATGAGCCAAGATTCAAGACTTATTTTCTGTATGTCGTACGGCGTTTTCGGGGGTGCGGGATGGGAAGAGATAGGTGTGGGAGTGTACTCAGTCTGTGTAATAGAACCTTGTAATAACTGATACAGAATTGAACAGTTTCTTCATACTTTGATTGGTACCCTAAATATCTGGGATTCCCCAACATGTTAGAATGATAGGCGCTTCCCACTGGTGGGTTGTTCAGGGGGTATATATCATACTTAAGGAAAAGCTGTCATTTTTTTAGTATACTCAACTCATTAAAATTGTCTTGAGATCACCTGCACAATAGATGTCTGCCCCAATCCGCGTGAGTCGAAGAACCAAACCCCCGAGTGATAGCCTGTGGTTAGAAACTGTAGACCCCCGAGAGAGAGAATACTGGGTGTTAGTACACGAGACTTATGCTCAAAGTGAGTGCTCGGGCATAGCTCGGTGGGTATGTGCCACATATCATTGCCTTCCTGCTCTGTAACGCCTGTCCTGTCAACGGTTATGAGCGAGTGATAGACTGTGACTCAAAACCATGGTGAGTGGGTTTGTCGTACTTCCGAATTTCTTAAGGTGAATAAAGGAATAAGAGAGGGTTCGATGATGAGCTGGTATTGAGGACCATGCAGCGTTGTTGATGTCGTTTGGTAAACAGTGAAATGGATGCAGATACCGCTTTCTATAGGAAATATCTTGAGGATCCTTGCATCATAACAAAGAATGGACTAGCAGGCTAATTAAAACGCCTCCTAATCTATACATTGAGTATGGTACACTGCTGGAAATCGTATAGTGATTCAAGCAATAATAATGTTCTGTCCTTTCACATTCTTTCTTCCCGGAAGAGACCATAGTCACCGTTTTGCTTGGTCAGCTTGCATTAATCAATCAATATAGGTGTTGTCAGCCCTACCCTTGTAAAGTATCTTACTCAACAGCACTTATATATACCCATCCTACCCACTCTCAGTCTCTTCCTCTCCCCACCACCCTCACGCCCAGCAATATCTCTCCCCATCTTAAAACCTCGCCATCCATATTTTAAATCATCTCCATGCACCTCAATCCATCCATAAGACCTTAACCTGATGTATAGGTCTACAATCACTCTTTTCCTCCATCGTCCCGCAGGTGTCGACCAATATTCACCCTCCTCTCCTCCACCACAACCTAAGAGGAGGTGATTCTGTGTTCGAAGCTCATTCGTCACATCAATCTTCTTTGCCGTAAGTGTATTAATTGATGAATCAAATTGAATATGAACATCACTAACTATGAATACAACAAGTAACAGACCTTTAGACCTCAGGATTTGGTCCTGAGGAGGATTCAGTCCCCGAAATATGGTCTGCTGGCCGCTGTGACAATAGTAAGTGTATCATCAACTGTATTAACGGTAAATTATAAGAGGCTAATCACAGATGTATTCGTTAGGATTGACTGATCCCACCGGGGCAAGGTCAATTTCAGCTGCCTTGTTGCACAGGCTTTCAAGTCGATGTGTCGATTCCCAGGCTGAATGTCTGTGGGGAATTTCCCTAAGTCGAGGAACAGTTGAGGCGCTTTGAGGGTGCTATCGGCCGGGCTCCGTTTGACGGGTGGGCCGAGGATACAACCCTCCCTGAGTCATTGACAATCATTCGCAGCCCTCCTAGAGGGCATACGGCAATGGGTTCTTGGTGTTGTATTTGTAGGTTTCGCTTGTTTTGTGGGTTTTCATTTGTTTCGTTCCGTTCTTTCCCTTCTATTCTTTTTACCATTCATGATGGGTGTCGTTTTCGCCATTGTGCTGGTGGTGTTATGTATGTCTCTTATATCGACATCTCCTTTCATAGGCCTTTACTAATTTCTTCATAGAGGTTGACTGCCTTCATTGAGTCATCGAATTCATTCGAAACGGTAACCCTTTAGGTATTTACTCTTCAAGACCCGAACAATCGAGCACGTTGAACTAAGAGACCAAAAGTGAGGGGGATGACAGCAGTGACGTATTGGGTCATCTAAATCATTCGAACATCTTCAGCTAAGTTCGTAAGTTTAATATCACGCAAATTTTCAACACACCAAATATACTAACATTGCACAGATAGTGGTGGAGAGGGATCATTAGTGGGGCCCCCCTACCATGGGTAGGTCGGGCCCCTGCACTGCCTGCCTCACGTCCAACCGGCCTCGCTGTGCATATGGAACCCACACAGCGTATTTGTGTGTGCCCTAGGGGACGTTAATCAGAGAGGAGATATTTTCGGGGTGTCGGCTCTGCCTGTTGCTTGTCAGGCGGACTATTGCTTTCTGCAGGCCTCCGCTCGTAACTGGTGCGCTGAGAAGATTCTCACAATGGTGTGCTTTAACTCTTATCCTACTCTGGTTATATATATGCTAACAAACCATCTAAGAGGTCAACACCATTACCGGTAACTGCGGCCCCTCACGCCTATGCGGCCATGTAGGGAAACACATATATGTGGTAAATTCTAAAGTGAGGATTTCACTTAAGAATACTGCTACTGCAGTCCTTTCTGCTGGACCTGGTGCGGTGCAAAATACCTATGGCGCAACTGCAGATGTGAGGATGATGGGAGAGCCGGATTCATACTCCTTGTAAATAAATAAATCATATATTTTGAACAGAACCTGTTTAGAGGGCTAAAGGGAACTGCCGACCATTAGTACCACCAGGCCAATCCCTATAACTGTAGGGTTCCATGCCATTAATGCATTAATTAATTAAACGAAAAAAGAAAAAAGAAAAAAAAGTCCCATAATGCCAGCTGTGGTCTTACGTCTTGGCACTAGCCTAGAGGGAACACAAATGTCTCAGCTGGCGATAAGGAAAGCATTAGCATGATTCCCCAGACTCCATTAACAAAATTATTTGACTGTTTGGCACACCATTATTCAACCCACATTTATCAACCATAAGGCCCCTCTAAAAAGCACTTCACACCTTTTCTTCTCCGTTAACAACCAACTACCTACTCAATCACGCAACCTGCACACAACCACAACACATTTACGATGGACGACTTTGAAGCTGCTCAGCCACGAACCGATGCCCTCCTCAAGCCGGAAAAATTTGAAAGATTAGCATGGGAGGTTGGCGGATACACCAGCTTCAAAATTTATACAGAAACATGCCGAGCCTCCCCTTTGAATAGACATTACTGTGTAGAAGCACTTTTAACTCTTAACCCCCGTCGCGTTCTGAAGTTTTGCGTATACCATTACCTACACTTCTACGCTTGTAATCACTGCTCGAAAACCGACAACCACTTGAAAATACTGCGAATGTTACCGTGCAAGAGCAACTTAGAACATATCTCTTCATCGTAGAAAGTGGCGGTAGTAACCAAATCGCCTAGAGCATTTTCAACGCAGTAGGAAACTATCAGCAGGTATATTTCAAAATTATCCTACAGCTACTGTTTTTTAACCGGAAAAAGACACCATGAACCGTATTAGATGTAATCATACAGATATAGAGCGACTCGGTACACCTCCCATCGGCAGACAGTGTACCGCTAGGAATACAAGACTATTCAAAGCTGACTACTGGCACAAATTGTGGCTTATTACTATGATCGCAAAGCATATGTGTAAAAAACGTATTGGCGAAGTGCAGTTTCTGTCTTTATTTTATCTATATAGTACTTATATTGGAAGGCTTTGCTCAAGGCGGCAGAGTTTTGCAGTATGCTCTAGGAATGGTGATCGTCTTATTTCAAACGAGAAGTATCCCCTTGTAGATAGTGGTTACGGGCTTAGAAGAGGGTTTTTAACACCCTATCGAGGAGTTCTTTATCGTTTGACAGAGCAAGCAATTGATAGTTGAATATATGATAATTCTATTGAAATCAAAGTACTTCATTTCTAAACTTTGAAGAGCCGAAAACAAAACAAGAACGTTTCAATCTTCGGCATTCTAATTAGGGACCGTGGTTGAAAGAATTTTGGTATACTCCACAAGGGATTTCCGATCCTATCCTCAACCCCGAGTACCCATATGAACTAGGGGTAGGATTCGTATCCGCTCTGACAGCATTGCGTAACCTCAATAGAAAAACTATATGCGGAGAGTATGATGAATGCAGTATTATCGACGATGAAGCGGATATAGAGGACGGAAGTGAAGCGGACAGAAGGGATTTCGACTGGGAAGTAGTATTTCTGGAGGTAGAAGACCGTCGAGTGTTGATATTGAGAGAATTAAGTGCGGATAAAATGCGAAACGATTATAAGATGGCAAGGCGGGACAGAAATACCTATCTCAATCTGCAATCAGGGCTGGAAGTCATTTTCATAGAATTTAATCTCTCGATTGATCCAAGCATCACGGGTTGCACCAGGTTTCATACCGCAAAACATTTGAGCTTTTGCCTCATCTGAGAAAATGCTCATTGCGGCAATCATCCTGTGTGCATCCCAATGATGATAGTGCTTCTGTACGCGTTCGACAGCAGTTTCTCTCTTCGAGTCACCTGGGGGTAGTGCGAGTTCCTCAGGAGCTAGCCTACCAGCATAAAGCAATTCTAACTTTTCATAGTGGCGTAGGGTGTAATATCTGAAGTCCTTAGCACCGCGATATTTCTATACCGATCTATCGATTAGAAAGAGTAAAGAATAGCCAAAACGATTAAAGCCATAAACAATTAGTTTACCTCAATCGTACGATTCTAGATATCATCGGGGGCATTTGGAACTTTCGTCACTTCATCCCAACCGAACTCTCTACCATTTCTAAGCATCATAAAGGTTTTGTACTTTCTCTTCAACCGCATCTTCGTTAGTATAAAACATACAACACGACATGAGTTATAGGCAACCAAAGAGAACAGAAACTGATATGAGTTGCAACTTACAACTTTTATTTTATACTTTATGCGACCAACCGCTAGTGGTATCTTCTCCGAACCACCTGGAGAAACAGAGCAATAGAGCTTATTAACTTCATCCACAGCGGATTTGAAAACCTCTTTCTTAAATCCATTTCCATCACGCTTGCCTTCCCTAGCTCCAGCCACCAATGCTTCTAACATAGCCCGCTTCATAGGAACAGTCCATGTAGTTGGGCTAGCTCTTCTTCCATCTCCATCTGCTGAACTGGTTAGAATATATGGATCTTCAAATATTGAACTGTTCTCACCCTCTGGTCCAAACCGAGACCGACGGGCAGTGGTCCACATTTGATAGCCTGTTGTGGAGCTGAAACCTTACAGGAAGATTAGCGTCGAGGAGAGATAGGCAATGGTTCTAGGATGTCAAAAATTCGAACCTACCGGATCCTAGAGATTGCAAAAAATGGAGCAGGATGGTGTCGCGATGTCAAAATCTGAATTTGAACCTCCTTATAGGTCATCAGCATCGGAGAATAGAGTAGGTAGAGGTAGCGGAAAACTGTAAGAGAAGATACACCAACTTCAAAAGGATCAATTGAGAAGGACACCTTACAGAATAAGACCTCAATTAATCCAGCGAGCTTTCTGAAGCACTGGTGCGAAGTAGCAACAGAGTAGAATCAGAATATTTTACTACAACTAGTGATGTTAGAACTTGTGAAAATCTGACGGGTCGGGAGTAAGTATTATATAATGGTTATTAGGTGATGCAGGTTGGGAGGTGTAGATAAAAGGTGTACTAGGTCCTGGTCACGAACCATAGTTGAACGACATAGGTTGTCTTTTTGAAACGGAGCGTTGAGCGCTTGTTTTGGCTGGGCGGGCCGTAAATGGTACTCCGATGTCGTTGCAGGCAAATATTAATCCTTATTAAAGTTTCCGGCCTTTTAATTCATGCCTGGGTACATCAATAATTATAGACACAACATTATCATTATCGTTACAGCTGGTCGACGCGATGTATTACACTTATCCAAGTGCTCTTACCTAGCTTCAGCGCCGGTCGAGCGCCTCTAGTATACATTCCCCACGCATAAGAGATCGGCGAGTTGGCCAGTGCGTAATGCACTATGACCGTCTCCCCAGACTACATGTAGACACCGGCTGTTTGATCCACAGAGCTATGCCAATATCCTTTTTTTTCACAATCACCCCTGTGATACACCGGAAAAGTAATACACCAGCCTCCATAGCCAGATCAGTAAAATGCATACCATCTACTGCCTTAGCCCGTGGCTATTACGGTGCCCACAGGCGTCTGGCAGTACACCCCCCCCCCCCCCCCCCAAGGCTCGGCGGAAACGCGCCGATGCAACTGGGTGAGAAGGGATAGCTCTGCTTTTATTGCTGTCCCGGTGCGTTCGTGGGACGCGCAGCAGGTGCTTCAATATCTGCCAAATAATACATTACTATATCTTGACATATCGAGGCCAGCCCGCTAAAATATGTACGCTACTGGCTTTATAATTTAACACACGACCTCCGCGATCCGGTACCACTGTTGAGTGGTTAAATCGTGTCATTAGCACGGAATAAATAGATTCTAGATCTCGAATCTCTCCCGAAAACCTCGTCTTAAGTCGAAACCCCCCCATAGTAATGAAATAATACTCGTTCTCACATAGCCTGGCATATGGTAAAGCAGTAATATCAAAATTGGGGTTGCATATCGGTGTTGTTTTCGACATGACCGTTCGGGCTTTGTGAATATTATTATATGTCGTTTCCTACCTCTCTCCACGTTTTCTGTTCTTCTACATGTATCACGGACCAACGCGCTTGAGCTGAGAAAGGCGCTTTTACTATTTCTTGGCTCAAACAAGCCCGCCAATAGAAACCTACATTTTGATGCCTCTTACAGGGGGTCGCGTTAGTGTTGAGCAGGGATCTACTAACCATGCTTACGAAACCCCCTGTCGCCTCAACACTATGTCACGCCACCGGAGGGACAAGGATTAATCCTGGTCAAAATGCTACATCAAGGTAAGGACTATGACTCATCCATAAGCCCTGATGGTCTAGTGGTATGATTCCTGCTTTGGGTTCTCTTAAATGCAGGAGGTCTCCGGTTCAATCCCGGATTAGGGCCCTAACTATCCTCTCATCTGAAGTGTCTGATTTCCTCAGCGTTTCCGGTGGGCGATCTTTTTTTTTCTGGTTTAGGAGTTGTCCGAGACGATACGACGACACTACACACAAGACAGCGAGCACCCGAGAATATTTGTTGCGTTAATTTTTAATATTTTAGAGATGGGCGCATATTTCTGTTTCTAAATTTTCCCATAGGCCTGGGAATGTCCTGAAATAATATAAGATCGCTCAAATGTAAGAAGACAACGTCCAAGGAACGTTTCCGGGGAAGGCGACCAGCAGCGGAGGAGCTCAATTTCTGTCTCATTGAGATAGGCGTACTGACCAGATAATACTTGGATAGTACGTGCTATCCGGATATTATTCATCATGGGGGTGGCTCTATCCACGGTGACCAAAATTACTCTGACCTTGCTGATTAAGGTGGTAATATCGTATCCCTCACAACGGACACCAAATACCCAAATAACACTGATGGACAAATGCCAGCTATTTGGAATTTGAATGGAGTGTTCTGTTCAGATTAGTTCGTAATAGAGGAGGCTATTCGTATGGTATTTACTACCCAGGGACCATCTGCATAGGGCAGCCATCTCGCTCGGAAAGAAAAGCACCAACCTTGAAAGTGCACCAGCCGCTGCTCGGTCATAATCAAAAGCGCCGAAGTCCCGTCAGAAAGAGAGAAATTAACGGACACGTTGCAATCTGGTAAGTATGTTTATGGTCAGGTGGTAGCTGACTTGTTGGAACTTTGGTAGACTTCAAAGACCTTGCTTAATTTAAAGGTAGATGGTTACCGAAGTTATTCATTCCCGGTAACTAAGAATAAATTCATTGAGATGTGGCTCTTCCTTGTTGAACGTTGGCTGCTCATGGGCGGGTTGGCATGTAAAGGGTTTGTGGTCCTGTTCTGTCTTTTTGTCTTTTTGTCTTGCTGTCCTGCTGTCTGTTGTTCCTTAGTTAAATTAACCACAGGTTATTCTCTTTCCTTCTCTGACTTACTTGTAATACGCTGTATATCATTCCCATTCATCACTATCCGATGATATTCCTGTTGAACCTCCAGAATTTTTCGTCTATGATACTCCTGTTGAAATACTCACCACACTAAAAAGATGGCAAACAGCGATTAAGTTGGAACACATCCATTAGAAGAGAACTTGGAATGGATTAAAGATCCTGTGCGCATTGCCTCCCAAGCTCATTTTAATTTATCCGTACAGAACGGACTGTATAGGTTTTCTAATCTCAATGCTCATATAGGAGAGGTGGTCTCAGACCCAAAAAAAGAGATTTTTCATTGATAGCAAAGTTTAATCCCCGGATTCTAATTTCTTTCCATATCCTTGTCAATACAAATTACCCAAGTACAGAAACACTGAGTCTCTATCAGAATCTGGTATCCGAACTTAACCACCGCAGTCTACCCACCAAGTTCAACCTCCTACTGGGTAATTCCCGCCGCCTCATCCTGCGCCTTCTCTTCTCTCACTAGCTCCATCTCCTCTTTGAGAATCTCGCCCTTCAATTCATGATAAAGCCTCATTTGCTGAAACTTGAAGTCTTTGTACAACCTGATCTGCTTATCCTGGAAGATCAAGCCTCGCATTTGCGCCGTAATCGTAACACCGTGATACAGAAATGGGGTCATAGCCGAGGCCCGCGAGGTTCTTATTGATCGTTTCCAGGTGGAGTGTAGCGCCCGTAATAACAGAGGCAATTTGGTCGATTGAATGATCGATGCCATGTGTGTGGTCTGCTACCTTTGCTTTGCGGGTGTCGCGGGTGGAGGCGACGTCGTCGGGGAGGGTGGTGTTGGTGGTCATGGTGGGTGGTTGGAGGTGGACAGAATGTTTCGGTTTGATGGTTGATTTTGTGGAGGAAGAGAAGGGAAGAGAAGGGACGGCGTGATGGGAATTTATAGGGTCTTGGCACGGTGCAATTCCTTTTTAACTGCCCTGGGAGATTGGTTGGTGTATTGGGCTAGGTGTGCTAACAGGTTGTCAGGCATGGATAGCGCACTGCGCATCTCCTACCTCTTATCTCCTAATCGATAACATCTATCTATCTATCTATCTATCTATCTATCTATCTACTGATATATCTATATCCTTCTATCCTCCTATCCTTCTACTAATAGATAAAAGGCCAGGATGAAAAGAAATTTCGCAAATAGCGGGTGATGCCTGGCCCTGCACCTAGGCAACCTACATAGGACGTTAACGGTGTACTAGAATATGCCGGAACAGCCCTTCAATGCCATGATTGTTCTGTTTACGCCACGCGGGGAAGTACTTTCAAAGAAAAAGAGGTTCCGGGTCAGAGTAGCAGGCAAAAGAGCGTAAGGCATTATTTCATTCACCAATTGCTACCTGGTTTGAAATAATATAAGTTGAGATGGGGCATCGACATGAAATGATTACGGTTGGTAACAAACGGGAAACCTCTACTGTTCGCATAATGCTCCTTCTACGAAAACAAAGAAAGCTTTAGTAATTTGCATCTCCACGCCCAGTCCTCCCCGCGGGGGTACTGAGAGGTCAAATACCGCTCCATGTTGTGCACTACTGGCACTTTTGGCACATGCATAGAAGATAGCTAGCTTCGATTCCTTGTAACTTTACCACCGGAGGTGGTGTCAATTAGCTTAATGTGTCAGCGAAGGGAGGGAGACGGAGAGTATCGGGTGCCTCTACCTCAAGGGGATCCATTCTGGTCTTCCTCATACACTGATGTCTCGAGTTGTCTCGATGCCCCTCGAGGTACATGGTCAAAGATGCAGGTATTTCTCGTGTCACCGGCTCCAGCCATTCCCCTCGGAAGATCTCGTGAACACTGATCAAGCTCTTAATTGCTTACATGTAATTAGTATGCCTATTCTTCCTACCAACAAAGCCTTCGGAAGAAGGCCATCACCGTAGTGTTCAAGGACATGCTCGAAAGCAGCTTTTGTGTGATACACGTGACCTGTTCATGGAATGTCACTCGTGAGCGTTTCGAGTGATAGTATATGACTGTTGGCTTTTTTTTTAACCTATGAGTGTTGTAACAAAGGTATTCCTACTAAAGCCGAATGACTTATACATATCCAGTGTTGTCACACACTTCTCCAGTCGCGTCGGGAAAGAATCTTGTTCGTGAAAGGGCCGGTATCAATCCGGCCTCTACATGGTAGTTAAAAAGTGAACCAGAGAGTAATATCACGATTCTCCACAAGACTTCTTTTATCGTTACTTGTTTTGTGGTGTGGGTGGGGAGGGGGGGTAGGGGAGGGCGCTTAATTTAAATAGTACATGACCATGGAGTGTGGAGTTCCTAGAGCTAGACATAGACCCGTCCCCGTAATGACTATGTTTTTTTTACCTTTTTTTTATCCTTTTATTTTCTTTGGGGGGGGGGGGGGTGTGCACAAGGTGGTAACAGGTGAGCGGTCCTAGCTGAAGCTATAGGAATAGAATAAATCCCGCCCTGAAGTTATATATATCGGGGTCTGGACCGTGCTGCTGAACGGTATGTGGACCTAGATGATGAGGGCCGGGGGGTCTTGAGCTAGGGAGCTAGATACGATGGCACTGCACCCCGGATCTTCGTGATAAAGAATGGACGGAGTAGTTTTGAAGCTGTGGGATATATGTTGGTGAATTACTAGCTGTAACCATTTTAATTGCAGTGTGGAGGTGCTTTTTGCGGTCGAAGGTTTACTATCTTATGTAGCTTATAGCTGGCATCCGGGTATGTATCTATTTAGTGGGTTGCGTGGCGAGGTGTTACACAGTGAGCACAAAGTAATACCGGTTGAAAGCGAAATACGCGAGATGGAGGAAGATGCAGCAACCCAGGCTATCTCCTCAGCCTACCTCGAACAAAGCCACGGTGCGTGACCATCTACGGAGACATGTATTATCATTGGAATATGACAGGTATGTGATCAAAACGTGTCCGATACTAGAGTATAAAAGGTGCGGGACCTCGATCCTTCGCTTTTGATCATCATTCGCTCACCACCAATATTGTGGTCTGAATCTAGGGACGTGACGTATTAAGAGATCTATTGCACTTCCGGCTGCACTGGGGGAGACAATGCAGGCAGTATTTTGGCTTTGAACTTTGGCGTGGAAACATTAGGAAGAACATGGTTTTGGTGGTATAGGATTGGGACCTTAAGGTGAACGTAAGCTTTTCTTGTACTGACTATCTACTTTTACTAACTAAAGAGCTACTCAGTCGTTTATAGGATCCCTCACGGTCCATTACATAGGCCTGCATCCTTTTTCAACCTCTTTGACCTTTGTCAGCTCCTTGTCTTCTCTCCATCCTTCTACTATGACCCAGCACTTTCGCTGCATCTTTTCCACACGTGGAATCCTTGGGCGCAATTTCCAGCCGCTTTTCGAATGCTTTTCAAGATGGGTATGACTTTGACTATGCGGATGTTTTGACAAAGCAGGCTGGTTTCTGCGGCGGTAGATCTTGGTATTTTGCATCAAGTGGAAGACTGATCTGGGGCCCCTTAGGATACGGCTCATTTACTTCTTCCGGAAGAGTTTAGCAGAAGAACTTCATAATCTACATCCATATATGAAGGTTCATATCGTGGGGTTATCGATTCAAGGACCAGTGATTCAAGGCTCAGTCTACGACTATGAAAGCTCCTAAGGACTCCCGCCAGAGGATGGCGAAGGGGCAATATGCTGCACGATATGCGCCGGCCACGGTGTAGGGAGTATCCCAAGGTTGGGTGCAAAACCTCCCCTGGGTACCAGTCAGAGTTTGATACATATCCCAGACCTGAGTGCAAAACCTCTCCTGGGCACCACTCACCTCCTATAAAGGACACATAGTCCTACGATTTCTCTCTTTTTATCGTCTCACCTAGATCTTCCCCATAACTGCTAGAATGGTTATCATCGAACCTGCCGCCCGCACCGCCCTCATCGCCAGTGCCTGCGCCTTCGCCATGGATGCGATCAGGGCCGCCAGACCTCTCAACGCCGAGGCCCGCCACGAGCTCACCATGATCAGGTGCTATCTTCTGCGCAACGGCTACGACCTCCAAGCCCGGGCTCCGCACGAAGGCGTCACGATGACGGATGATATGGAGGTCGCTGTGGAAGCCATGGAGCTCTGCAAACTCGTTATTATGCAGACCGACTATTCGATGAAGTTGATGGACGATGCGCGGAACTATATGCTGTGGAAGGAGAGAGAGGACGCCCAGAGGGATGAGGCAGAAGCGAGGGCGAAAGAGGCGGAGGCTGAGGAAGAGGTGACCAGAATGAGGGAGGTGGAAGAGGAGGAGGATGTGGATGGACAGGGTGTTGACCTGGAGGATCAGGATTAAGTTAGTGTGCAGCAGTTAAAGAGACTCTTCTGCAACCTTTGTCACAATTATCATGTCCTTCATCTTTCTTTAGCAACTGATGCAAGAATCACAACCTAAATATCTTGCTATTTAAACTTTGCTCTCGCTGTAGCGTCTTTAAATTCTTGACCTTATTTGAGATTATTTTGTGTCGTTCAAGTTCGTTATCCACACCTTCAACACAATCAATAAAGGAGCCGGACGTTTAATGTAACACCTTGAATCTAAAGTCTAACATCAACGTAATACATACTAAAATCCCCTAGCGCTGATAGGAGCTTTAACTGTCCAAGAAGCAAGCCAAGCCGCTGGTACCGGCATCAGGTTTAAGGGGAAATATACCCAGGCCGGATGGAAAAGCTAAGATGGGAACCACTTACTCCAGGTCTTTATAAGCCCGACTCAACGCCCCTTAGCCCCTACTCTCCACATCCCCAAATGCAATTGCCAAACAACAGAACTATTCTCTCGTAACCTTTATATACAATGTCTCAACAAGCCTCCCACCCCCCACCCGCAACCATAACACCAACAACCCAAGACCTCCTCGCCGAGCGTCTCTCAGCCATGCGCACCGCCTTCATTCAAGAAAGGGTCGCCATCATGACGCGCACAATCACGCGCTTCCAGCGCCTGCACGCCGAAGTCTGCTTCGACATCACGATGGTGCGGCACAGCCTTGTACGCGCCGGATACGACCTTCAGGCACGTGCGCCGCGTGCGGAGGTGGATATGACGGCGAACATGAGGGGCGAGGGGGCGAGGCTCCAGGTGTGCCTGAGTGTTATATTGGATTGTAGGACCATGATGGCCGGGGTGAATTTTCAGAGGGGGGAGTTGCTGTGGAGGGAGAGGGAGGATGTGGTGAATGAGGGGTGGAGAAGGATATGAGGAGGATCAGGAGGGAGGCGGCGGAGGCGGAGGAGGCCTGGAAGAAGCAACGTGAAAAGGAGGCGGTTGCCGGTATGGAGGGGGAGGGGAAGGTGGGGGAGGGACAGATTTGAGGGGGGAATTGGGTGTAAAAAATACATAGCTTTACTAAGTCATACCTAACGCGCAAGAGTGGTTAGAAAATAAATATCTTGCTTTTTGAATTTCTATTTTTCTCTTATTATCTCTCCCTGTAGTGTCTTCAAAAGTTAATTGTGAAGGATAAAAAATGACTGCCCTCTCACAGCAGTGTTTCCAACGGTTGTGACCGGTTCTTACTTTCAGCAGAACTGAACTGAACTGAATACAAATGGGCGACAACTGAACCGACCGAATTAATAAGAACCGGTTTATATTGCAGAACGGTTCTGAAATCTTGGCACTAGTCTGGCAGGAACTCTATACTAAAAGTGTTCTGGGTTAGGGTTGGTCTTGATAAGGTGTTCGTGCTTTGTACTAGGGGTGTGCCAAATCGCGACCACGAGTTGTACTTTGTATTATGGGTATTAAGTGTTCAAGAATTGTATGTAGAATGCCTTGAATGGGGGCCTTCGGCCCCCTCCACCTCCCCTTCTTCAATTATGGGGACCTTCGGTCCCGCTCATGATCAGTCGTGCGCTCAGTATTTTGATGTGTCGTGCTTACTAAACTACCCTTTAGCTGTTGACCAATCAGGCTGCAAGGAGTTCAGAAAAAAACCGTTAATCCAGTACATAATAGAAGATGAGGAGCTCCACCTGCATGGAAAACCGGTTTACCCAAGTCAGAAACTGAACTGAACCAAATGGTGAATAGGCAAAACTGAACTCAACTGTTTTGTTAAACGGTTCTAGAAAACCGGTTTGAACTGGTAAACTGAAGCACCGTTGGAAACACTGTCTCGCAGACGTGATCATATTCTTACTAGGAGGAACTCCCGTTTACGCTCGCACTCGTAGCTTCAACGCCTCACATGTACATGCTTCCCATGCCCAGAACCAGCGTTCTGGTGCTTGGGGACTTGAGGGGGGGAGGGGGGAGTTCGTTTGGGACTCCATGCGATGGTTGAGTTAGTCGTATGCGTGAAGGTTTAATTTAGTGTGGCTCATCAGGATGCCCCTTGCCGGTAAAAATAGGTGATGCCTGAGGTGCTCCAGCTTTGAGCCTAGTTCATAGTTGTGTGATTAGATGAAAGAAGCAACGAGAGAAGAAGAGACAGGCTGCTTTTATAACTAAACGCCGTGATAACAACGTATCATCAAAACTACCTTGACAAAGTACTGATAACAGATATCGAAGACCGCAGAAACCACACTATGCCACTACTACATTGTTGTCGAAAGCTTGTGCAGCTCGAGGTGAGTGAGAGGAGTTGGGTTGCCTCGATCATGTTACTCGCCTCCTTGAACCCCCTTGGCTGGGACTTCCACGGGGCGTCGAGTGTCAATGCGTCGTTGGGTTTAGATTTCATCACTTGAAGGGCTTGGAGATTCATGTGACTAGTACCGGGTGGACCAGACATTGGTGGCCATGGTGTCTGATCTAAAACTGTTGTTTGGTAAACATGTTTACTTCCATGAGAGTATTCTTTGAAATGCAGATATAATATCTTTTTAATCATTCATATAATGAGTAGAGATTAAGGTATTAAAAAGAACGACTCTTACAACCGTGAGATATCTACAAGAGAGGCTTTGCAGACAGCGATCATGTCTTCTCCCTATTACAACAACCTCCTCCATCACACCCCACCAACCCCCTCCTACACCCCACCATCACCCCCCCTCACCAATCTCTCCCACTCCGCTCTCCACACACCCATCTGCCCCCGCACCCACACCAAACACCTCTCCGCGTCCTCCCTCTTAAAAAACACCTCCCCACCCCTTACCATCCCCTCCTCCACCTCCCCCCATAAATCCCCTCATACCTCACCTCCACCGGCGCCCCCGGCCACCGGCACCCAAGCACCCCCACAATCCCGTTCAACATCCTCACCTCCCTCTCTCCCTCCTCAATCAACTTCTGCAGCCGCTGTATCTCCGCCTCTCTCGCAGCGAGTAGCGCCGCCCGCTGCGAGCGCAGCTGGTACAGCTCCAGCCAGTTGTATGCGAGGTCTGACTCTGCCTCGCGGCACGCGGTGAGGAGGGAGTGGGTGGCCATGAGGCCGTCGTCGTAGGAGGTGGCGGTGTAGTGGGGGGTGGGGGTTGTCATGGTGTCTTGCAGCTTGTGGAGGAGGGCGTCTTTTTGCGCGGTGAGGGTGTGGAGGTGGGTGGTTAGACCAGTGCGCGAGTGACGTGCGAGGGTGAGGGAGGCGGCGTTGGTGGAGAGGAGGGCGGTGAAGCGGGTGGAGGTGGTGGGTGGGGGGGTTAGCGCGCAGGTCTCGGGGTCGTCGGTTGTTTCGGGTGAACTGGCAGCGGAGGGGTTGGGGTTGGGGGTATGGGTATGGGGATAGTTGGTAGCGGCCGGGGTGGTGGGGTCTCCGGGGGCTGTAGAGCCTGTTGGAGAGATTATGGACTGTTCGAGAAACATTAGAAGGTTGGTGTTTCTCCGGGTGTCGTTGGTGGGCTGTGTATGGACTAGCTGAGCCAGGCTTCCAGGTAAAGGCAATGACATCCGATATCTTTGTAGTATGTTAAAGCGTTGATGTTGTTCTTTTGATTTTTTTTGGTTGTGTAGACTGTGTAGCTTGATCGATAGTGAAGAAGATTTTGAGATGAGCTATTGGACCCAGATGTAGCGGGGAGCAGGTGCTGAAACAAATGGCAAATTACCATCCACACCTGACCCTGGGCTGCCATATGAAAACGTGTTCCACCGCCGAATGTCAAAAATCTAGTCAGTTGACATCCGGCGTGGCCTTTCTTCGAGCAAGTAACGAGCACGTTGATCGAGGTTATTTCTCTCAATCCACAACCACACAAGGAGACAAAGCCATCTGCAATGTGTTCCATCAACGCCAGTCAAGATCACCACTATCCAGAGCAGCTCCCGCTAGCCAGTGCCCTAGCATAACACGAACAATAGGTTCGTACCCATCCCCCAGAGCTTAGTAGCAAAGCTAATATGATCCGTCGGCTGGAAGCATGAAAGCAGACTGGTTGGGGACGAGCCTAGACAAACAACTACCACGCTGTCCTTAGGCCACTTCCGCTGTTGCCATCGCTTTTCCGCTCAACCAATACGTATTTTCTGGATGGAAGTACCCCACCTACCCCCCCCCCAAATGTAGATTTACCACATACGAATCAGCTCAAATATAATAGCAACGAACCTCACTTTTCCGACCTTTCCCCGTTCCCTTGGATACCTGCAGCAGTGCTGTCGGCACGAGTGCAAATGCTTGCGGACCCCTCTCTCCCCACTCCCGGCTGGAGAGCCAACCCCCCACAGCCGACGAGGATTGTGCCAGTGTATGGGTGCTAGGCCGCTGCTATTACACTGCCGTGCGGTATGTCTCTCAATCTGCAGCGGAATTCGGAGTTCAGTTGGTGAAGGTATGTTTGTATGATGTGCAGTGGTAGGGCGTGAGGTAGGGGGTATAGCACTTTATTATTCGAGGCAGGGAGAGATATAACTGACCATTCTCCAGATGCATTTTGTTTGTCAAGGTTCGGCTATACAAGTCAGTTGATGGGCATCACAGTTGCCATGTCTAGCCGGGCCTTCTAGGTTCCTATTGGCGTGATTGCCAAAATCTGTACCAACGCCTTTTAACCTCTGGGAATCGTACCCGTTCTACTACCCTACCGGGTTGAAAACATTGCCCAGGATAGGCGTAGTCGGTAGATCAGAACACCTCCTTGTGTGTTATGGGGACAGATCGATGGGATGAAACCTAGCTCGGGAGTGCCCATTATTAGATTACCCACTCCGCTAATACTAACATGGGGTCACAGGGAACTGGGTATAATATTTAAATACGTATCGCATACTTCCATGAGGCTATCTTCCATAAATACTGTATTTAAGTGGGATCCTTGAGGACAAGGAGCGTACATCTGATCAATAGGTGGAGACAACAGCTAGAGCAATATTTGCTACAGGAAAGAAAGAAATGAGTTACAAAAAAAGGAGGTTTTGAACTTGATAATAAAACCTAATGTGACTGACATACGCGGGGAAGTTACATCAGCCAAGTAAAGCAAAGAGTATTCGAAGAGAAAAATCAAGGAAGAAAACTAAAATTACAATACAGGCTCTCCATCTTTGAAATTAAAGATGATTCCGGTTAACGGTGAATACTCAACTGAGTCTGCTTTATGAAACTTTTGGGTTTGTGTTGCAACAAACTCACCGTATAACACGTCTTGGTCTTCTTCACTCATAGGCTGATAGATTGCCTGGCTGAGCAGTATTGCCTTCCTATTCTCATGAAGCCTCTGTTCAAATTCTGGCTTCTGAATGTTAAACTTGGCGGCTATGACGTCCTGAATCCCCTTTCTGAGGGGCAGCAATGCCTCTCGCGCTTCATAATATCTTCTATAAATATGCAGACTATTCCTCTCCAGAATTGGATTGTCTTCGTTGCTAATGTAATGATTGCACGCAGTCTTACCGGTCCAGGGGAAGAAACCCTCGGGCAATAATGTCTGCGAGTCACAGTCTAGAAGTGCGATGGTATGGAGTATATTTGAGCTCTTTAATAGAGCTGCAAGTGGGGACAGCTCTTCGATTGTGTAGTCGCTCAGAGGCTGGGCACTCTGCTTGAAGAGGCACATCCAATTTTGGAGACCCCCGCTATATCCGTCGAGGTTCTGGGTGATGACTGCAATGATTGCGCCAAACTCAGTGACAGTACTAGGGGTTTTGGCCATGATTGTATAAAAAGGGTTTACGGATGAGGTTGTGGAACAATGATCGAAGGTACGTGACCGGTTACGATTGTGTATCTGCAGAAGCGTGGTTTGGATATTGAGGAGGAATAACGCTGACACTGGGTTATATATAGGCAGTCTCCTGCAGGTACCACCCGCGGCTAAACGGGCATGCATAGTAGGAAGATTCTCCATCTAGAACACTACCCGGAGAGCAACGTCGTATTTCTATATCATTTTCTCCAGACTGCATATTCGGGGCTATGTGGTACAGTATTAGAATACGGGAATAGGCATATGTTGTCTTACATTCTCCTATGTCCCACCTTCATATTCTACACCGTTAGGTTTCACACGCAGTAAAATATACAATAAGGTTTACTTTTTCGCACTAGATGCACAGGCCGTATAGTATTCACGGAATCGAGCGGAAGAAACAACCAAACGTGGATGCGGATGTATTCAGTACCAGCAAGGAATCGCACCTACCGCATCTCTGGAACCCCAATCAATACTTTCGGGTGAGTAGTGCTACTGCCTAAGAAACCTTAGCGCGATGTGGTATTTCTGTCTGGATATGTTCGGGTTACAATTGAATAGTGGCTCGTTTCACTGCCAACATCTATGAGCCTTACAATATACGGCTCAACCATACAGACCTCGAGTCGTGAGAGTATTTAGGGTTAATCAAAAGAGCGGCTTCAGCTGGTCTCGACCCTCGCTGAGATGAACACCTCCTACAAAGGAACTATTTATGCAGTAGCTATCCTAGCCCGCTAGTCCAATGCGGGCTCGCGATTGGGCGTCGAAACATTCTTCGGGGGTGGGATACAAGACTTATGTCCCTCCTCAGGTGGTGTTCCTTGGCTGCAGTTGGTTGTACTGGATTTGTACGACTAGAAAGGTACACAATATTATACAACTGTGAGGTGGATTTATAAGTTTTTTGAACGCTATATAGATTTTCTTTTGAATTTGCAGTTAACGGTTTGGGATTCCGGATGGGATGGTTCAATAAGGGTATTATAGGATCGCTGCCGACCGGATAAAAAAAATAGATTTATTATAATTGGGCCGGATACGCTAACCAACTTGATTCTTGTGGAACTAGAACGTCACACCATAATATAGGAAGCAGTCGGTTGGTATAGGTACAGAGAGCACTGTGCTTCACGACTGTGAAACCACCGAACACAGGAATCCATAATAGTGGTACCGGAGGTGGGCATTGGAATCACGTATTATGCTAATGAAGACTGAACAGACACCACGAGTTCGGATACTGGCCATGGAATGCCTGGCCGGAGTCATATTTCATAACCAAAATAACCCGAGTGATACCCCATGACTGCCACCTTTCCAGGCGCTGCGTTCCACCTCTTAAACGTAGTGAGCGCGGTCTTGGTACAGGAGATAAATTGGTCGCTAGAAAAAGAGTGCAGTACTGGGATCGGAGGTAATTATACCGCGCATACGTCTTCAGGGCATTTATCGAGCACAAAATAGAGCACTGGACTCCCGAGGCACGTGACGATGATATACGAGTGATAATCCATGATTACAGTACGATGCCAGTCGTGAGCGTCAGGCGCGGCGTCGCAACGCCCCCCGAACCATAACGGGTACCAGCACAGCAACCACAATTGATCCTTTGGAGAGCTGAATTTGTGTATAGTTGTTAAATAGTAGATAAATAATAATAATTTGACATTTAATATCTTGTGTACCAACCCGCCGTGAAAAGGTTGTGGAAATCTGGTTGCGCCTGACGCTCACGACTGGCATCGTACTGTACAAATCCGGCACAAGGTCTTTAGGAATTGGTTGAGTGGTGAATACATGTATGTTATAGTATCTATCTCAGTCACAGATAGGGTTTGTGTAAGGAGTACCAACCGGGTGTCGGACCTATATATCGATCGACCTACCTACGACCTTTCTTGGTCATGTACACCCGGGAGCGGAGGTGTAGCTTCGAAAGTCTTGCCCAGAAGAGAGTGTATTCAAGTAGAATGAGGGCAAAAGTAGTATTTCAAATACTTCATATGACGAAGGGGAGGCTTGTGGGTTTTGTCGGGCTGGCCGGTGGTGGGCCTTTACAGCAGTGGTATGGATATCTGCGGGTCTAAAAGCCTGTTCTGATCCGTTGACTAAGACATTGATTTGGTTAAGTGCGCGCACGATTCCCCAAGATTGATGGATAGGTCGATCCTTTCAAAAGTCCCATGTTATGATGAATAGCGCGCTCCATTAAACAAGCTCGCGTAATAGTTCTATTCCAGTCATCAAGTACGCAAAGAGAAACCTGACATAATTGCACCCTCTCGAAGGGAACACAACCTGTTAAAAATAGCTCCACAAATCGCATCCCTCCAATAGCCACCGTGTGGTTGGAATTATAATAGGTTTTGCTGTACTCTGTTTGAACTTCGATGGATTGCACGCGAAAAGCTCTATGGGGTTGGAACACCTGCGGCCTGACATAAAACAAATCCGTAGAATTCTCGTACCATACTCATCAACCTCATTACAAGATCAAACTTATCTTATTAAGCATCGGCTTTTGAGTATCGAATTTTCTCAAGTCCTGAGCACATTAATTGTTGGGGGGAAATTGTGGAAAATTTGCGCCGGAAGCTTCCTCTTGATCATTGGATCAAAAGTCCCTCAGGGCGCCCATTTGGCCAAGGGGTCGCCCCGTCCATCATCTTGCTCGATAGGGCGCTCATTTGGCCAAATGAGCGTCTTGGTTAACGTATCAGAACAAGCCTTTTCCATTCCATTTGAAATGCACACTATTGTGACAGAGCTAGACTTGAGACGCGATGCCTTTATATCAACGAGTGTAAATGTTCTGTGTGCGAAGTTTTTGGAATAACACAGTTCGGCATCTTTTACATAAATGACTTTCGGTATATTTCGGGGATAATACTACCTAGCTCGTGGGCTGGACTCGGTCAGAGGAAATCTCCTTAGGTGCTCCGCTCATTTCCTTCGCCCTCACGCGGCCAGCTGTTGCCCCGATGGCGGCTTCCTTTGTTGCATACGTACCCGTGACCGCGTATACTGATGGTCTCCCACACCGAATCGTATATGTATGCCTGGTGACTACTCACCACGATTCTCTTCTATCAGTCTCCTATTCGTCGAAGCACCACCAAAGCTCGTCCTTCCCCTTCTCCCTCTTCTCTCCCACCCTCCTCCCCCGATCAAAATCTCAAAGGTCTAAGAAGACCACCCCATCACCCCGAACCATGAGCACCCCTACCCCCCCGACTACTTCGGGCACCGCGCCCACTCCAATATTAATAGCGTCCTCTCTAGCGTCCTCTCCAATACCAATACCATCCTCTCCACCAATCCAACCACCATCAGTACCCCCACCGGACACCGCACCCACCCCAATATTACTACCATCCTCACCACCACTGCCATTACCCCTCCCATCCACCGGACCACCCACCTCCTCCCCACCAGCAATGTTAGCCCCCACCCCACAGCCCCTCCCCCCACGCCCATCTTTTCTCCTACCCGTCTCATCGCCACCCACGTCTTCTCTACCGCCCCTAACGTCTTCGCCACCGACATGCTCCCCCGCGCAGCCGTCGTCGCAGGAGAATCTGTCGTCGCTTCCGCCGCCGTTTTCGTCAAGCTCGTCGAGGTCGTCTTCGGCACCTCCACTGTCTCCGCCGCTGGCACTGCTGCGCCCGGCGAAGAGGAAGAGGCGGGTGTCGGTGACGGGGTGTGAGACGCGGAAGAAGGCGGCGAGGTAGTGGTGGGGTGCAGGGTTGGGATTTTGTGTTTACTCTAGCGGGGGGGGGGGTCTGTATCTGGGGTTGGTGTTTTTGGTGATGCTTCTATTCTGGGTGTGGGGGTGAGGGCGTGAGTGTATGGCTTGCTGGATAAATGAGGCAGGGTGTTGAGGGTCGGAATATACATGGAGATGAGCTTTATGGAGATGTTTGATAAGGCAAGGCCGTGATGTGCTGCTCAGCGGAAAGGTGGGGGCGAGGGAAAGTTATGAGATCGGTGGATTTCGGCGAGGTTAGTGTGCCGAGATCATGCTGATTTAGTTCTTTTCAATACAAGTCTGAGAGTTTTATCTTGATATTGTTTCTTCCGTATGAGTCTTTAAACATGGAAAACCATCCACAGAGTTTTCCCCTCTCTGGCCACTCTTTATTTTCTTTTTTCCATGTTTTTTGTTTGCGCAACAACGAGAAGCTGAGTTTGCTCTAGCAAGTACTGTAACTATATAGAGAGCACGGCTTATAAAACTACCGTTTATCAAGTCATATTCTCACAGAGCGTTCGTGTTTCATACAGAAAATAACATTGAGTCTTAGCAAAGGAACACGTAGTACCCCATGTATCCTTTTAGCTCAGCTCGGACAGAGCAGCTCCTTTCCCAGGCTCCCAGCGGCCCTCATTATTGGTGTATGTGAGCGCTATGCGTTGCCTCAAGTGATACAAAACCAGTATACAGCTTGTTAATTTAACATATCGCTTTCGGGGTGGGGTCTTGGGTAGGTGGGCCGGTGGTTTGCTATACAGGGTCAGCGGTTTACGCCCTGGACTAGCTAGAGAGTACATTCGGTTGGAAAGGTTAAGGGAAGTACTGACACGTTGGGCGGGGCGCTTGTAGGCACGAAACTTAAAAAAAAATGAAAGAAAGAAAAAACCCATAGAGCTCACTCCCCAACCCGACTGGAGTTGGAACAACATACCGGGGTGGTGACAAAACGCCTTCCCCCCCCCCCCCCCACCCCCCCCAAAATCTGCAAGAAAATCGACCCAACCTCGGCCTCGCTGTCATCCTCATCTCCTTGTTTTCTCGCCCCAAACAATTCGAGGGACATACACCAACCCAACTTACCACTCACTTATGCCCACTGTAGAATGGGCACAAGCTGAACCTGTGTTTTCTTTTCCTCCACGCATAGCAGGCTGACCCGCGGAACTACCTTTTTGTGATGCTTCTTGAACCCACCACTTATATGCTCGCTTCGTGTGTTTTGTGTTGTGGGGATCTGGGGTGTGGATGTGGATGTGGATGTGGACTGGTAGCGTAGGTAGGTGGAGGTTAGGACGCACCCCTCGATTCCTTTTTCTTCTCATGCTGGTATTGAATACAGTGACGCCCCGTGGGAGTGGTATGTCGATATAGTGAATCAAACCTTTTCTCACAAAATCGGGCACTCAATCGGGACACAGGTTCCTATTCTCCCCCCCCCCCCCCTCCCACCCTCCTTCCTCCTTGGTGAGCCTGGTGTCTTTTCGGGGTGCGGGGTGGTGGGGAAGATATGCTAGGTGGACATGTTGCGGAAGTTGGTGGCTGTTTGCTGGAAAGGCTTTTGTGTTGTGAGTTGGGGTGCTGAGTGCGTGGTGTTGTGCGCTGGTGTTCTGGATTTTGTCATTTTCACCGGGGGAGGGGTTTGGACGGGTATTTGGGAATTGGGAGTTGGGGTTATGCTCGTTGTCGTTGTTGCTGTACTGTTGTTTGGCGGGGTACGGGGTATTCATCCTGGAGTGGGACGGGGAAAAAGTGATAACGGTCGGACGAAAAAATCACCCACTTTGTTAATATTCTGTGGGTGAGAAGAGAGGTATGAAACGCCCTAATGAGAAACAAATATATAAAAAGAAAAGAAAAAACTACTTTCTACGGAGTTTATTCATTGCAAAAGCGGCAGGTATGGTTCTAAAGTACATATAGATGGCTAAGCACTAAATGTAGCCGCTACCTAAAACCAAAGCCGGCGCAGAGAATTCAATCTTCCTGCCTCTCTTTTCCCTCTGCTGCCTTCTTTGCCTTCTTTATTTCCCTGCCCGCCTGCGCCACCTCCGCCACCCGCTCGGCGTCCCACTCCTCCATCCTCGTCATCTTCTCCACCAAACTCTCCTCTCTCTCCATCATATCTCCTGCCATCATTCCCGCTTCCTCCCTCATCCTTCTTGCCATCATTTCCTCCATCTCCTTTTCCTCTTCCTCCATCTCCTTCTCTATTCCTTCCCTCTCCTCTCCTCCCCTCTCAACCCTCTTGCCCTTCTTTCTCTCTCTCTCAAGACTCTCCGCTATCTCCGCCTCCCTCTCCGCTATGTCTCTCACCACCCGCTCCCGAAACTTCACCTGCTTCCTCCCTATCTCCGCCTCCAACTCCACAATCCTCTTCGCCACCCTCTCCTCCTTCCTCTGCGCCCAACTCTTCTTCGTCACCTTCTTCCACAGCCTCATGCGCATCTCCTCCTCCCTGCCAAACCGCTGTCTCTCCTCCTCAATCTTCTCCTCAGCGGCCAAGTACGCCTCGTTTTCCTCCGCCTTCTCGAGCGCCTCGTTCTGTCGCGTTAGTGCCGCCTTGTTCTGCCGATACCGCTGCCGCTGCACGGCGGCATTGGTGATCATGACCCGCATCTCCGGCGTTATGACGCCGTGGAAGGCACGGCCGTGCCCGAGGTGGTACCCGACACGCTCTAGGCGTAGGCGGATCTGGTTCCGGGCTTCGCGTGCGGCGATTACGATGTCCTGTGTTTGGTCGCGAGCCTCGCGGAGGGCGTTGAGGCGTGCGGTGCGCGCGGCGGGACTGTTTGGGTTGGGGTACTCCATGCTGATGGGTTTGTTGCAGGAGTGAGGGCGGGGGGTGGAGAGGAGTGGGGTGGGTGGGGACGGTTCCCGGTTTTTGTGTTGGTTATTTTAGGCGGTTTCTCTTTTTTGTTGTTGTTGTTGTGGATTTAGTGTGGGGAGCGCCGGTGTGGTATTTATGAGTGGGAGTGTGAGTGTGGGAGACGTATCTTGGCTTGATATATTTTGCCCAGCTTGTGTCGACTTCCGCTGGGCACTACGATCAACAATATCGTTGGGGATAATAGTGCCAAGATCCGGTTTTTATCTGCCGGTGCTTATTGTACATGTGTGTTCTTGTACGAACATGAGCTCAGAACCATCGTGGTTCCTAGTGGTTATGATGTTCTGACCCATACGCCGGACTCTACCCATACGCTGATATCATCGCATAGGTTGACCCACAGGGCCGCTGTCACTCGATGGTGCTACTAATTCATGAATGGGTAGCTACGGTTCTATGAGCTACCCAAATGCTGAATCCTTCCTGTGGGCCACGGCGGATCGATAGCGTTTTTCGCTGAATCAATCAATAATGGAGTCCGGGACTTAAAATAAAAACCCTGATTATATGATTTGACTTGCAAGCCTTTGCACTAGCGTGAGATTGTATGGTCGAATCATTGCACTGAGGTGGTATTTATATTTGATTGAGAATTGATCAATTGAGTGACGCATTGAGGTAGGAATACGTTGCTGATTCTGGCAACGAATGTCTGATTCTGTCATTCCCATTCTCATTTAATCTTATTTCTATGTAAGATCATGAGAGCTCGAGCCTTTACCTCCACCTGCCAAGTCAGCTCGAGCTCTATGTCAGGCTCGCGCTCATCACTAGTTCAATATCAACGTATGGGTCGGAAGAAGGAGCAATATCAACCAATGGGCTACCCATACAGGTTACGGTACCCATCGGTGAACAGGTCGTGCCATCTGTAAACGTCAGGAGTTTGGGTAGCGTTCGCATTTGGGTCAGAGCAAATGCGTCACCTATCAACAGAGGCCTAGACAACCACCTAGACCACCCGGAATGAGGGCCTGGATCCCCTCGCATCGATCTGAGGACCACGTATCCGCCGCTTCAACTGATCCACTGTCGTTGTTGCGTTTTGCCGAGTGATGTTCTGTGTTCTGTGTTCATGCTGCATGAGCGGGTGGCTTTATCGATAGAGTCTGCCGTCACTGTCGGTTACGTACTTTATTACAACCAGGGGTCTAGGGTGAGGGATAGGTGGCGTGACAGGTTGTCCCCTGTTGTGTCGTATAAAGAGGGAAGCTCTTTCAAGTAGTCCTCTCGATATGATCATCCTCTCTTACTATCTAATCACTGTGTATTTTCCTGCAGTTATTTATTAGAACTCGCAAGCATTACAGTATCAGCCACTTCTCTAAGCACGTTTTCATTGAGAAGCAAGATGCTGTCTATTACAGCCTTGATTCCTGACCGAACGAAAGGAGAGCATTCACTCTATCAGAAACTGGACAGGTTTTTCTCAGTGCATGCAATATTTATTTTTTGTAATATGAATACAAGGGAGGACTTCCACCCCATGGCTGAGTACATGGATATCATTATGATTATGAATGATAGGAAAGACTAGTGAAATATATAGAAGAACCAATGCCAGACAAGCGCAACAAGATAATTATAAAGTATTTTTCCCTCTCGACACCAACCAGCAGAAATGGAGCGACCTAAAAGCGCTCATAACTCTTCCCTGCGCATCTGTCAGCACCATCACAGAATCCGTGAGTAAGGACATCGACTTACTTTTTTACCTCCCCAGGGCCATTGATTATTCCACTGCACAGGAACGCCGCCTCCTGGGCAAGGATGTCCTCCGCTGTTCTCTCCGTCCCTGTTGGCAGCATGGCCATCTGCCCCCTGATTACTTCCATCTCGACTCCCTGGGTCCCGTCCAGCCCAGACCCACACGCCAGCAGATGGAACACCTGCAAGTACCTTTTTGCCAAGGCTCTCACCTTCTCCTCCGCGTTTCCCTTCTTGCCCTGCCCCCCAACCTGCAACATCTCTTTGACCAACCTAACCTCCCCCAGCAGCTCCTCCAGGGCAGCCCTTCCCCGGCGCTGATACTCATCATCGCTCACCTCCCACTCCTCCCACCCACAACCCTCCAGCGCCTGCTTCCACATCCCCACCTCCTTCAAAACCACCCCCGCAGTCCCAAGCTCAGCACCTAAACACCGACCCTGCTGTCCCCATGCCAGAGCACACGCCTCCATCCTCTCCAACCGCCCCATCACGCTCCTCGCCCGCGCAGCATTCTTACGCCCATGCTTCTTCTTCTGCACTGGAAAGAGCCCCAGCTCCTGGACCAGCTCGGCTGTCAGCTCCGCCTCCTGCACCGTGAAGCGCGCCTCTTCAAGCGTCCGCTGGTCCTCCTCGGAGTACGCCGGCGCAAGGGGGTCCTCGAGGATCGTGAATTCCTCCTTGACTGTGGGGAACGGCGCGGCAAGCGTCGTGGCGGCGGGTCGTTTTGGGGCGCGCCGGGCTTGCGGCAGCTCCGAGAGATGGCCGCGGCCTTGCTCGGGGAGCCAAGAGGGCGCGGGGGGCTTGCGGCGCTGGCGGAGGGAGTAGGGGCTGACGTGCGGGGGGGACGAGGGTAGTTCCTGCTTGATGGCGGGCATTGCAGCGGCGGGGAGGGGCGGGGTGGATGGGGTGGGGAGCCTAGAATGGCGGTTGATGCTGGTGGTTGCAATTGGCAGGCGCGTGCGTGGTGATGAGAGGCGAGCACCGGGTAATGGAGTGCGCTGGTGGCAGAAGCATATAATATTTTGTGGGCTCTGGGGGGCGGAAGAGGGCGCCCTATTTATACCCTGGAAGGGCCGTAGTATGGAGGTGTGGCTCCGCATGGAATTGCCGTTTCGGGGTGCAGGGGCGGTATTCTATGGCGGGCCATAGAATGGAGGTGCGGGTGGCTGCAGGTGAGTCGGTGTTGTTTGTAGGGATCGTGCATGGGGATCTGTCTTGCTGGCTGTTTGGCAGGTTCGAGGACTGGGTGGTGGGGGTGCTTTTAAGGGTAGTCCTATTCTAGTGGTGGATGTGGTACTGACTACGAGTGCTTTCTCGCTCCCGCAGAATATGTGCTAAGCGCGACTGTGATGTTGCAGATTGTCAACATGGTATCATCACATATTGATCTGACTCGAGGCTCATCCATCAAGTGACTCCCCTTACCTTCTCTGCTCCGGTTATCAAGAGTGGTTGTTGGTCCATTCCTACAACCGCCGTTTGTTGATATTCTTTTCGCGGGTGTGAATATTTACCACATTCACCCAATCTCCCCCGACTCAAGCATACGGTGCCGCCCTACAGCACCACCGCTACCGTAATGCAGGATTACCAACAACGACAGGCGTAACCCCCGTCATCTCCCCACACAGGAAAATACGTATACTCTTCCACAGTCGACGGTACTGCGCATAAAATATTTAGTCGCTTTCATCCTTTCCGCCGACATGCCCCATCATCCCGGACATGACCGTACAGCGATATATCACTCGTCAAATCTGCATTCCAGTGTTCTTATAGTCGAGAGGGCGTTGTGCGTGTTGGTGTATTAACAGTGATGCGGGTGGGGAGTTGCACCTTAACCCACCCAAGTGGAGGTGCTGGCCAACACCCCCCCCCCCCTTTTTCCGCAATCCTATCTTTCCAACCTCTTCACCATCCCACAAACATCTACCCATCGCATGGGTTTCCACCTCCACACCAGACACTCCAACCCCCCCGCCCCCCGCCCCCCCCCAAAAAAAATACCCTCCGCGAGATATCATATTCGCTTCACAGTGCGTCACCCGCCCCCCCACCCCTGTTGCAGCGCAGGAAGCCAAGACACGAGTGATACTCTGTGAGTCTTGGCTAGCCGGTCCTAGGCAACACCCCCCACACCCGATGGGGCGTAGGGTTATGGCTTCTTTGTTCGTTAGTGAGTGTGATGGGGCTTGTGGTGCTGTCGCGTATGCTGTCATGTGGCGGATGTGCGGACGCCGTGGTGCGGTGGGGAGGTGTGTGGGGTTATGGTTTCCCAGGGAGGGGGAGTTGCGAAATATCGCACGTTGCCAATATTATTAGTCGAGTACCAGATGTATCAATACAGGACCGGGATCCAAACCACGCAATCGGGCTCCTTATACGTATTTAAAGCATACATTTTTATTCCCATCTATACCCGACTGCGTCGGGGATGGTTGTTGTTAGCGGTTGGGTTGTTATTTGCCGTTGGTGGTTTGGTCTGGGTTGACTGCCGGTCGAACCAAAGTAGGAATGAGATCGGAATCTCCTTACCCACATATAAAACACATATCTAACCCGCCACTATACCCGCCTGCGCCAGAAATGGCTATATTTCAATGACTTTTGCTTTTTAAGCACCCAAGACCCGCAACCACGGCACCAACTCCACAAACCCCGCCTCCTCCCAACCCACATCCACATCCACATCCACATCCACACCCCTCCCATTCTCCAAAACATCAAACACAAAACCCCGCGCCACCCCCACCGCAGCCGACACCACCGCACACGACAGTCCTAGACGCCCTCCCACAGTAGCATTCCCCAATATTATACCGTTTACGCACCATCCTAAAGAAGATAGCAGCCAGGACCAACCCCCGTCGTCCTCCACCTCCTCTTAACACCCCCCACCACCTCCCGCTCCACCCACACATACGCCAGATCCACCAGCACAAGCGCACGACCCCTACAGAGCACCACATTGTATAATACGCAAGCCTACCCACCCCCCCCCCCCCCTCCCAAATACACGCATTACTCCACACCGGGCCCGAGAACACAAACAACGATCCATCCAGCTTCGCAATTGTCCCCAGTGTATCCGGGAGTCTCCAGTCCGCCAATGACAACTCTAGCAGGGGACCACTGCTGACCCCCTTGGCTTTGCCCCTGCGATCGATCGGTGTACGAGACGAGGCTGGGGTGGATGTACCAGTCCGGGCACCCTTTAGCGATCGCGACGAGCCAGGGGTGCATATCCTGGCAGCTCCCTGGAGCGCTCGTTCAGAGTTAAGGCGCGTGGTGCCGTCGGCATGCTGTAACGCCTGTCAGTTAGTATAGTATTGCTTTTTGTGGGACGGGGGGTAATACTTTATTCGTGTGAGGAGGGCGGCGGGCGGCACGTTATTGGGAGTCAGACTGGTTGATGGATTGCCTGGAGAGGCTGTGGAGACTTTTTTTTTGGGGGGGGGTGGCGGGGTTGATGGCAGCGCAGGTGCGTAATGGTAGGGGCATCGTCTTGGCAACCAGCTTTACCTCGTCGTGCATTTAAAAAAATCGTGTTTGCCCTTTGATATGCTTGGGCTGCCGTATATACACGATAGATCCATATATGCACCGGGCGGGTACCTAGAGGATTTACTTTCCGGTGAATGTTCTACGCGCCCTCAATGTTTTAGTTGGGAGTTTGAACGACTAACAGTGGGGTTTCCGGAAAACCGAGTGAGAGATGAGGTATATACGCAAATCTAGATAGATAAATGGCGCGTCTTCAGTCATCTTTGAAATCAAATATGAATTGGGTTTCTCGCGGAATATACATGGCGCATGATCTAGATTTTTTCGTTCAATCGAATAGATTTTTACCTCCTGGTGTATCTCCCCCGTCATAATTCTTAAATGAGTAAAACACGAGCTATAATCATCATGAATTTTAACAATTTAATATTTTTACATTAGTAAGAAGTTATTATATCGTATGAACGACTGCTATAGATCCATATCCGGTAGAGGATCAAGTGTAATCAATCCCAATAATGAACTATAGGAGTAGAAAACAAATAAAGCCGAGTGAGAAATACATAAACCAATCAACCCGCACGCCTCTCGCATCCCGCCCCTTCCGCTGTCAACGAACACATACCAAACCATCCCCCCTCCAACACCTACTCCGGATCCCCAAACACAACCTCCGTCACCCTTCTCCCCAACTCCGCATAAAACGCCCTCACCTCCGCCCAATACAGCTCATCTGCACTGCTCACGCCCTGCCCCACCAACCCGTAAAACGCAAACCTTTCCACCACCGACACCCACATGCCCTCAATCAGCCCCACCATCTGCACTCTCTCCTCTCTCTCAAATGGGGCCGCATCGGCCTCGCGCGCGGCGTAGACGTCAAGGTGCTTCCCGAGCGGCCAGGTGAACTTTAGCATGTTGCGGATGTCGAGGAAGCGCGTGGCGTTGTGGTATAGGTCAGCGCGCGCGTTGGTGGCGCGGTAGATATAGGCGGCTTTTTTGCCCCAGTAGCGGGGGTCGGTGAGGCGTGGGGGGTACAGGTAGGTGTCCATTATGTTGGCGGGAGAGAGATGTTGTGGTTTTTTCTGGGTGGGAGGGAGTGGGGGTGGGAGGTCTTTATATGAGCAGATGGCTCCGGGGGTGCTGGTGTTAGTTGTTAGGATGAATTTCTATAGCTGGCCGGAGAAAGGTGTATAGAAAAGTGGACTTGATGGCATTGCTTCTCGGGAACTCAAGGATAGCCACGTGTGGGGCTTTCTTGTAGAAATCTGGAGTTCTTTGAGTCGTATTGCCATGTGGCCGATGGCATAGAACCAGGACTAGTTACTTTAGCTCCGGATCTGAAACGACCAATACCCATCTCTCCGAGGTACGTATCAGTTCATTCAATTAGGCTTCTGATTGGATAACCTCGATCTTGACAGCGTCAAGTTTTGTTGGAATCAATCTCTTCTGCTTAGTCGCCGAAGGAGCACATATCATCATTCCCGCCTGGTGTTGTCGATATCTGGTACTCGAATTCTATAATTACTCATATCGTAAGTGGACATCAGCGCATATCATTATAAATCCTAGCCAATTGATTGGTTGTGCTTACCGTTTAGAAACATCTACCAGAACAATACATACTTTTCAATGGGAGTTCGAAGCTCGTCTTACCCTACCCTTCAAAAATCCTGCGAGTATTTAAGACCTGGGACCCTAGTTAGCTCACATTCTCTACATCTTCCACCAAAACTAACCCGCATTCTCTAGCTCTCTCACCTTCAAAACCAACCTAGTTAGTATTCTATCTAAATCACCTTCTAACACAACAGTTTCCCAACCGAATACCTAACAAACCCAAACTCACACAATGGACCAATTGCAATATGAATACGTCGTCTCTCGCCTCGATATCCGCGCTTCCCAACTTGCAGAATTCTACATGTGGATGGGCAGGCTCAGTTCTACCCTCATAGACTGCGCCAGACACGTCGGCCCTCGCAGCCGCCGAGTCCCGGCAAGCTACACCATGTCCGAGCTCACCAGGTATGCCCAGGTTCTCAAAGACTCCAACCTCTCTGAGCTGTTCACCCGCAAGCTAGACCGCATGGCCAACGCCCTGATCCCGCGCTTTGACAACGGCGATGACCTCACAGAGCAGGGCCAGCAGACGCTGAATGTCGTCAAGCATTACCATCACCAGAAAGAGAGGTTGCTGAATGAAAGGGCAATTTTTGTCGGGCTTTTGGAGGAGAAATTTGGGATCTTCCCTAGAAGTGACCGCGCAAGGGAGGCCAGCGCGGAGCTAATTATGTTATCGAAGGCGGCGTATGTACCGTATTCATATGAGGATCAAAAAGAAATTATGAGCGAGAAGTTCAACAAGACGACGACAAATTTTAATTATGCTTCCAAGGCCTGGTATTTTCCTAAGTCGGGGGTACTCTCCTTTGAAACTTAATTACAGAGGATCGTTGATATGACGTGGTGATATTTTTATTCTATTCACCGTGATATTTTTCCTTTCCGTTTGTTATCGCTTGCGTTTGCTTCATTTGTTTTGTTATAATTAACATTTTCACAGTTATTTGCGCAGGTCGTTTTAATGGTTATGAGTTTTTCCTGATGCCTTTTTTTTATTTTATTACGCTTGGATTATTAGGAATTAAATTTATTCGTTTCCAAATAAACTCCAGTTTCGTTAAATCATGATTCCCATGCATAAGTTAGCCATTAATTCTTTTAGAATCCTTTCGTCTGATAATACTGCCCGCCAGAATTGAGCAGGGTTTCCAATGAGCAGACTGTAGTATAATAGCCAACGAGACTTAGCCCAATAACAGTTAAAATATTTTAGTTCTGCTATATATAGGATTATACACCCGGGTTAGTAAATAAAGCCCAGGCTGGTGATATCTAGTTCTGTTTCATAGGTAGGTTTTATGTTGAGTTCGAATGATATATATAACGCTTTTCTATCGCTCCTTATATCACCAGGAATGTTATTGAATCCTTTTAATTAATCAAAGACATTGAAACAGATGGTCTGCAAATAATCACCCATAACCAATTGATGACCCGTATTCAAAAATCGAGTGAAAATAATCCGGAAGCTGGAGGACCTGACCTAAAGTTACGCTTGTAGACCGCCGGATAGTTCCAAGTATCAAGGACCCATTGGAGCCTTGGAACCGAGCATCCCAGCCTAGGTGTGAGAAGAGACCACGGATAAAATGTTTAGTTATATGTATCTGTGAGCAAATTTTACAGCCTTGGCGCGGGCCGCATTCCTGCCAGACGAATTGGCGAGTCTTTTATAGAAAATGTTTTTGTCGTCCCTTATGCCAATAACGATATAACCTTTTTTTTTTTCACCGTTCACGCATTCAATGAGGACGTGTATGAGTTAATCCCAAGCTTTGTATGTAGCACCGGGAATATATCGTTTCTAAATAGTATAACCTTCGTTGTTGTGGTCAATAAGTATTCCCATTGGTGAATTTTCTTCTACCGGGAGTCCGGGACAGCTATGTTTACTGGATAAAGAGCCACTCCCGAGTTCGGAAGGGATGTAACATATGTTGTACCGTTCACCTTGATATATCGGTAGTCTGTAGTGACTGATTATCTATATCTATAGATGTCATGGATAATTGACTTCGATCGTACATATATTGGCCGGACATTGCAATATCTACTCAGAGGTCGTAAATTGAACAGCGTTATTTTATTTCCTTATGCTTTGGCAAATTTGCGGCCGGATGCTGCATTGCACTTGTAACCTGTGTATCGTTATGGGCTCGCATGAATCAGCTGGTTGTCTGAAGTACTGATTGGTACGGGAGTCACAGTCTCGAGACCTGGCGAGACGGCCCTGGACAAGACGAGATGTCGAGTGATGTTAAATGATCCAAAGCAAGGTGCTTCCTAATATTTAGGCTTCCTCATGCTCAGACTTCCTCATCCTCAGACTTCCTCATTCCTCATGCACAGTGTTTTGAAAAATTATGTGTGCGTTTTAGCCCCAAGATTTATCCATCATTTCTTGCCAAGAATATCTGGTCTTTACTCTAAAGTAAAGATTAACGGATTGAAGTACAAATTTCTACCTCAAACCCAGATTGAGTTTAGCTTGTATTAGCCTCGAGATTCGTTTCGAGACTTACCTCAGGTCTTGAAACTTCAGAGACTGTAATGGGACGATACAAGACAAAACGAGACTTGGCGCAAAATCGTCTCGTCTTATCTCTTGCCCATCATTAGCCTAAAGGATAAATCTCTGGCCATCTTGTAACTTATTTTGCAAGTCCAACAACAAAATATATTGGGTATCGATCTCTCTCCCTGGCCTGGGAACTGATAATGATGGAGCCTAAGACAGTCAGTATATAGAAGCATACTATCCTCCGGTGAAGTCCCCTTTGAATTCAATTATGCGGAAACACTCCCCAGCTCGTAGAAATTGCGTTATCAATGTGTCTGATCGAAGTATGCGTACCAATGATTATCTCCACCGATACTCATTCTAAGATAGAGTGTGTCTCCCTTGCTTGTTATATATTCTACGATATAATGCCTGATGGCATCTGCCAAGAGTACTTAGTATGTTCTGTTCTCATCCTTTCCCGGCACTCAACTTATACTCAGTATTAAATCCCGCCATAGCTATACACAGAGACAAACCTATGGTATATCAAACTTCAGACCTCCTAAAAGCACCCACCCTTGATACCTGTGGGCTCTGTTCCAATCAGCGGTAATTCGAGTGACAGATTATGACTTCAATTCACAACCGGATCGTCCTCCGTTCCCAGGTCCTGACGTTATTCCTCCTCAGTCGAAATGGAATGGATAGATTTTGTCTCTTCAATGAAGGTACTACCCCTGAATGCGATTAGGAAGAGCGGGAATATCGACTACTCGAGCTCTGCATTAGCTACCCCCGTGATGGTCCAAGCATATTTTGGCATCACCGAGCGTGCCAAATCTTATATGGTGTCAAATCGCGTAGACCTTTAACAACGTGGAGGCCACGTCATGCTATAGACATCCAGTTTCAATCGATGCTTGCAACTATCACCTTCCGGCCGTTCATCACTATTTGTTAGATTCTCTCAAGTTCACCGCAACGCTAGTTGTTATAACGATAGTTTATGCCGCATTATTACATATATCCATAGATGTGAATAAGAAAAACAGGGAAAGAGAAAGATAAAAGATGGAAAGGCAGGCGACAAGGGCCCGGGGGAAAGAAAGGAAAAAAGGTATACTCTTACACAAGCCGGTCTTGGCATCCCACACAACATAAAAAACATCATGATCATATAGTAGTACAAATCTCATAACTTAGCATCATCCTCGCGACCATCACAAAGGCCCCTATCGCCGGAAAACTAATCAAAAAGAGATACAATGGAATTGCGTACGGCGGTAGCCTCTCAGATGGCACCAATCTAGGAATCCCTCCCCAGTTACCCTCCCAGATCCCCTCCGCAACACCAGCAGCAACGTTCTCGCCGGCGAAGCGATCAAGAAGAGTTTCTACCACTATGAACAGAATGAGAGAGAAATGACCGATCACCAAGGAGGTCATGATCCACCATCGCTGTTCGGCTGTGCTCCGGCCGGGATCGAAGTTGGTGAGCCAGTATATCACCAGATAAGGCAGTGCTATGACTGCGACAACCGTCAAGGGCATCATATAGCTCCGGAATATCTGCGCTTATTTTTAGTAAAGATCCATCAATCACTCCCATGGCTATAGGAACCAACCTCCCATTCGGACGCCGGAGTTGAAGGCTGTTCTGGGGCTCCCACGCAAGCCTCTCCCACCGCACAGCTTATGAATCTACGGGAGGGCACCATCTCTGTAGCTACGTTTCGATACTCTGGTCTCTCCAATCCCGCGCTGCGAGCGGCCTGGTCCGGTTGTCCTTCTGTCTGTGAAACTGGGGAGTTAGTTGCTGAATCCCGTTGCACTTCTATTTTCTCGGACTCCATAACTGTGGCCTGTAGTTGCTGCGAACCAAGTGGGCGTGTTACCGTGTACGGTGGTTCGGTTGGAATCGGGAGGTTTATAGCATTTTCCTGTGGCCCTTCCAAAGTCCTTGGGCCCTGGACCTGCTCCTGCGGCGCTCCCGTCCCCGGGCAGCCCGTGGCAGTATCCCCCGGCAGTTTACCATATAGAGGTACGGATATTCAGGTTGGCAGAGCGCAGCAATGAGATTTAGAAATGACATGAACACATAGGGTAGAATTGTCAATGAGTACGCCGCGTATCCGAAGTGGGACATCTGGTCACCTCGCCCTTGGTATAACTCGAACGATCCATAACAGATTTGCGCGATAGCCGCAAGCGGCTTAAATACACTGTAATTGCATGCGATATCGATGTCGCTAATCCCGAACTCACCGCTCATATTCTTCAGGTCCGGAGTCACATCGTAGCTCGTCGGAACGCGGATATAGCCGTAATCACCTATGGCCGGGACTGTTGAAACTACCGAGGCACTTGAGCCTAAGGTGATCCATCTCTTCATTCGTTCGCGGAAATCTACTGGCTTCTCCGGATGTTCGCCATGGATACTGAAGTAATAGGGATCCAGCAACTCCCTTACTGACCTTAGTCCGACGACTCCCTTGCTAAATACGATGTAGATTATTGCACTTACGAAGGTTTATGGTTCTGTACGGGCACCAACATACAGAGCGCACCCGCATGCTGTGCCCTTTTCAATCTGTCCTTTATAAATATTGGACATTGAAAAATTGCTTCCAGCGCCATCGTGATACCAATTATCGGATGGACCAAGGCCCATGCTATGTTCCGTACCTGGATATAGGCTCCGGATCCAGCGGGTGTAAGGACTGTGAGGGCATGAAGCCCATAGTTCAGAAGAAAGAACTTGATAACATCACCCCATGCATTTTTCTGGCAAAGAATATCACCACTCTGGACAAACCTTGGTGGGTTTTCGGTTGGAGGATTCTGCATGTTGGTATACGGACTAGGGAATGGCTTTGCTGGGTTGTCCTGGACCTTGTATTGCGCTGTCAGCTTTCTTGCATAAACAATGGAATGCTTAAGGTTAACATACGAGTGGAATTCTAGGGAAGAAACTACAAGTCTTCAAAACAAGATTCTTCGCTGATATCGACCCCTTAACTACTTGCTGAGAGGTGATTCAGCTCGCTAGAGCCTGCCAACCACAACACGCTCAATCCTACCCATTCACGCGCAGTCGGCGATCGATTGGGCCTTGTACTCCCGTTCCCCGATTCGGTCCTTGTCCGACTGTCGTAAACACGCTTCCGATCTCGCTACTCAGTTAGGTTTAAAATCGGGCTGCTTGGGCGCGTTCCTAATCTCCCTCCCGGACTCCCCACAACCAGATATCCAATGCTTCATCTGGGCATCTCGCACTAGAATGAGTACGGTAATAACGTTGAGAGGTTCTTACTACTCGGGGCAGGCAAAAAGTACCGGACAATGCAAGTTTTGTCTCTGGGCTTTTTTTGCAGTGGTTCACGCCTAGCACGCGCGCCCATTGGTGAACCAAAACCTGCATTGTCCGGTACTTTTTACCTGCCCCGAGTACGCTGCAGCAGGACCAGCAGGGCTGAGTCTGAGGATCCCCATTTTTATATGGTGATTTTCGATGTCGCTGCCACTTAATTGTGCACGCCTGGACCACCCGTGGATTCGTCATTCTCTCTCGGCCAAGGAAGGGAAACGTGGCTAGCATCACCAATTATTGAGCATTGATTGAGTTAATCTCTTACCAATCGGTTATATAGATCTCCTCTGACTTACTCTATATTCTGCACGGCACAGGGTTGGCGTTACACAGCACAACGCGCGCGCGTGCGTGTTGGAATAGTTCGCACAGGTAGATAGAGGAGAGCTGCACTTGATGCAATAAGAGAAACGGCGGTCCTTTTATACTACTGGTAAATGCAGTAGGAGTAAACAGGGAATTCCCGAGAGTGGGAAACTCAAACTTTTACAGTGCCTTCCTTATACATATGTACCAATTTCGGATCCCATGAGGACTACAGGAAAACCACACCTTTTGACTCTGCTGGAAAAGGATGAGGCTTTTCCACCTGACCAAGGTATAGAGTTTACTTGTCCATTTAAGCGTCTGTGCGTCCCTGCTCGCGCTTGTGTGGCTTTGATCAACCGGAGTTGCAGTTGTGCTAAGCTTCTATGACATAGCCGCGATTGTTAGGTACAGCATTCCTTCCCCCCCAACAACCCATCTCTGCCCAGCACCCGCACAATGAAGTGTATGCATTCACCACGCAAAAATACTTATACTGCACAGATACGCCCTCAGGGCTTCGGGTGAGTGACTGCCTCTGCAGCTCTCCGGAACCTCAATTTACGACTAGCTAGTTGAGGAATCTACGGCTAAAATCAATGGAGAGACATTTATCCATTTTCTTTACCTCTGGGGATTACTTACCGGCTACACGTAGTTACCACATTTCATAAATAATTTATGCGTAATGGAAAGCGAGGTAGATCACCGGATGCCTAAGACAGGGAAACTCACGACTACACGTCACCACGCACATCTTCGACGCGACAATAGAAATCAATTCATCGAGCACCTAATCTTAACTACCTCATTCAGTTATGCAAAGCGGCTGATCTCATGACATAAACCATACTCGCTATTGAGACGATCCTATCTAAAGCTTCCAATATCTTTTTGTGCATTGAGTCTTCACCACGGGATCTCGTGGTGGTAGTTGGGATGCTCTCCCACTCGCCCCGTGAAGAAACGCGTCGTAACGCTCGATTGAACCCGAAGGGACACTGCAAATTTTCGAGGGGGGTGATTCTAACTGTGAGTGGAAGGGAATAAGAGCGAGGCGGGAGTGGCTGGAAGGGAGGCCGGCCGTGACAACCGAATGCACCTGTAGTGCACGTGCACTTGCCGATGCCGGCCGGGTGTCTTAAACCCCACAGATCTCCATAAATCCGTAGGTGAACTCGATCTGATTCTGGGGGAGGGGGCAAGTGCTGTTGTGCTGAGAATTTATGTTCCTCACTCACCAGTGCCGGCAGCTTATCTATGAAGGACTTCCACGGTCCAGCCTGTCATCCACGCCGCTGCTCTGTGCCGCGGGAGCTAAGACGCGCTAGCGCTAGGCGCAGCTTCACCGCTGTCTACGAAAAGTGGGACCTGTAAAAATACCATGAATTACTTTGAGGGATCTAACTGTATAGAAGCATTGGCAGGACAATTTAGGAGCACCACGGCCACCCTGGCCCACATCCCGACCGGTTGCGGGTAGGTGTTTCTATGCCTCTTCCTATCGTTATTATCGTGCTTCTCGCTGCCAAGATATGCATTGGTCATGACGGCAGAGTGAACTGAAGGATTGGATTAGGCACGTGTCCTATCCCGGGAGTCGATGTGGTAGGGCTTAGGGCGCGCGAAGTCATACTAAGGGTTCCTACTGGCGGGTGCGTCACAAACCGTCACCCGCACGCACGCACGCACGCACCCACAAAGTCCTACCTTTGACCGCCCTTGGCCGCCTGCCTATTAGTATAAAAGGATCTATTTTTGTATGTAGTAATAAAACAAGCAAGTTGTACGCGAATTCCACATCGATGCTACCTGGGGCGCCGGTGGAGGGAACACAACATGGGTTGGGCGTAGTTTAAGGGACCTATTAACTACCTGCCGGCGGGCTGATACCCTGGCTACAAGTTTTCGAATGGCTGCTAGTTTCTTGCTGCGGTAAGTGGTCAGCGACGGTTTAGATTTTTTCATGATCTACATACAAGTTGGTATTGCAGGTTTAGTTTGTTCAGTCGAAGATGAAGTTCGGTTTATATCACGAGCCTTTGGAGCTGGATTATCTTATCGAATCTTATCTTATCCACCTCGTGTCGATAAGATTATCAGATCAGATCCACCCGGCCAAGACTTAGCGAATATACTCGAGCACCAACCAAACCAATTCCTACTCTACCGGGGCTATCTTCAAACTCACGATGCGTCGCTCGTGAGACGGGTAGAGAAGTTGTAAGAGAGCATCCACTTCCGGGTGTTTCTTGGCCGCATGTGCTGTTCCCTAATTTTTGCCTTGTGGAGCCCTTTGCTCGGTAACCTGTGTATTATACAGATTCTAGATCTAGTGACAAACGAAATATAATTTACACGTCTTTTCCTCATCACCGGAAAGGAGTCGTACGTACCCACTTGAACGGTACCTGCGGCGCGCAAGACAGGAATCCCCCCACTCTTCATGTTCTCTACTCATATATCCGGTCTGCGTGTAACAGCGGGTCTGATTCATCCTCGTCTCCGCTATCTCGAACTTGACACAAACGCCTTGCATAAACTAAAAAGAATATATCCAATATTAGCTGAGTAACCAGCTTGGTAACTCTCCGCTGCTTCGCCGCACCAGGCATTACCAATGTGGCAAGTAAATTATTACCAAACGACCCCATGTACTCTACAGATCATGCTTCTTGGCAGACGACGAAATAAGGTCAGAAGGTCGACATGGATGATGGATACCAGATGAGATAGAGTTGGTGAGTCGCAACGCCTATCCCTGTATAATAACCCTGCCCCTGTCAGTAGCTTCACCGGACGTGCGAAAGCCTGTGCCGGTCAGCAGAGATGGAGATTAGCGAAGCTAGATCGCGATGAGGATGGAGATCCCGAGAGCTAGAGCCGCAATCCGAGGTGCTTCGTGGTGGGAATCTCCGCCGGCGGTGTCGTGTGGTCTGAGTTTCGAGGGGTTGCTAAAAAATAGTGGCGGGGTTGTTTTGCGGTTCGGCTCCGGCTGAGAGAGCCGCATTGACGGGAGGGAGCATGCTAATTGTGAAGTGGGAAATGGGAATTGGGGGGGGGGGGGGGGTCTTGAATCTATATTAATTCTTTACAGGCGTGTAGTATGGTCACATACATGTAATTCCATTACGATCTTTTTTTTGCTGTCGGTGCTTTCAAAATTTGTTTATCGAGTTGAGTGTTAGAACCGACTACACAAAGTACGCACTTTCTAGAACCCCAAAGTATAACTGACACCATCCCGTATTATAGCGTATATAATAGAATTATCCAATTGAAGACTTGATTTCCCACGGTCGTAACTATTACGGTGGTTGTGGTTGTGGTTGTGGTTGTGCTTCTCCGACAATTGCGAGGGAAAAAAAGCGTGCGGCCGAGTGATAGCTCATGCCCGCAACACCCTGCGCCGCACCCATGCGCCACACCCCACTTCTGACCCCAGCCCATACTGTAGATAGCACTACGGAATTGGGCAAACCTCCGAACTAAATCGGAACCCTAAACGCTCTACCGTAGCAATACCGCAATAATATCGTGCGTAACCTTACGGTATTTTTGCTAGGTATGGTACTGGATCCACCCGCTCTTTTTTTGGCACTGTACTTGTAGCTGCCATTAAGTGAATTTTTTGGAATAGGTTTTGAGACACGTTGGGAGTCTACAATAGCTGCTAACACAAACTCTCATTAAGCAAATTTTGTGGAATAGGTGTCTCCAATGGCTGTCTATAGACGTGGTTGTAGTTGGTTAACCAGAAGTGTTAGTTTCAAGAACCTATCACCATTCACATCCATCACCTTCTTCATCAAAACGATATATCAAGCTTCACGAGATCATTGAGGTCCCAGACAGACCTTACTCAAACTCGTCCAATGGATAAACCACCCCCGTTATCAATCTCACATAGGCCCGCTGTCGTCAGCACAAACATCTGTCAAACCACGGCGCATGGCGCATGTCACTATGCAGGGTCCACCACCACCTGCCCCTCCCTGTCGCTTAGCTCAACCGCCAACCCGCCCACCAAAATAAACCCCCCCCCTGCCGATATTTCTGTTACGTAACTACATGTACCCTTGCCCTGCACAACGCTGAGCAAGACACGCGCTAAAGCCAGCTGGAGGAGGTGGGTTTGTGGGACATAATGTGCCACAGAGGCGCTTTTCGCGCGGCGGGAAGCTTGAGAGTTCTGGAAGGAAGGATGTCAAGTGCTGATACGAGACGGCTGTGTGCGTGCGCTGTTTCGGGCTAGCTATCTACAATTGTAGTGTAGTGTTTGGACAAAACACCTTTTTCAGGGCATTAGTCATTGACCCACAGCCGGTAATGGGCGTCGGTATCGAAGCTTTGCTTGGGTTTCTTGACTGACAATTGCTGGGGGGGTATGGAGCATTGTCCGACAATGTGCCGGGTTTTGGGAGAGAGTGGCTGTAGCTACCTAGCGTGCTGGCTTGGTGGAGTCTGGTAGCTGGTATCGGTGTCGAGGGTGTCAATGACAGTATCATCATGTATAAAACCTCGAGCATCCTCCCCCAACAGCTACAACACCATCGAACAGCAAACCTGTCTTTCATCACCAGCTCATTCCTTTACTTTATTTCTTTCTTCTTCATTTCATTCCTCTAGCAGCCGGTTCTGCTCTTTCCATTTCCTTTTCCATTTCCATTTCCATTTCCACCACTCCTTCCGCTTAAACCCCACCCCCCACAAGCACCATGAAGTTCTCCACCTTCTTCACCACCGCCATCCTCCTGCTCTCCGCAGCAGCAGATGCCTTCCCGCAACCCGTCGCAGACAGCACCTCCCTAACCCTATTAATGAATTAAACAAAAAGCAAAACCTCCCTAACCCTCAACCCCATCCCGCACTCCAAGCGCAATCCCGCCGCCACGGCCCCCCGCCGGACCACAAAGGCAACCAGCCGAACCTCCAAGACCCGCGCCAAACCCGCCGGCGTCAGCAAAACAAAGGCCACCACAGCCGGCAAGAGAAAGACCACCGCCGGAACCGCCGGTAGGACGAAGTAGAAGGCGTCCAGCAGCTCCGAAGTATGCCTTCTCCCCTCGGCGCGCGGCAAGAAGGGCCTAGGCAAGCGTGCCTGCGGCCCCCACCCGAAAGAGAAGCTCACAAACTGCTCGCTGTGCCCGGGCCTCAAGAAGCGTGGTAAGGACCAGCGCAGCAAGAATAAGAATGTCCTGGTGTTGAGTGCTCCGGCGAAGGATAACGTTGACGACCTGGTTGATGATGTCGACTGTTGGCAGTGCACCAATGCTAGTAAGTTCTTTCCCCCTCCCTCCCTCCCTCCCTCCCGCCCCCGCCTCTCCTCCGGCCATAACTTGCTAACCTCCTCCCCCCCCCCCCCCCCCTCTCCCAATTCATGTGGCCAATTGGTTAAATTCACCGGCCCGCAAGTAAAGCGCGCCGCCGTCGACGCACTCAAGCGCAACCTGTCCGGCAGCTTGATCACCTACGACCGCGGTGACTTGGGGGCTAAGGAATGGCCGCACTATTACGGGAACGCCGAGGGCGCGCTTCCTGCTGCTGGCGGCGATCTGAGCAAGTACATCACGTTTCCGCTGCTCGCAGCCGGCTCGTACACGGGCGGAAACCCAGGCGCGTTTCGTGTGACTATTGGGCTGTCGGCCAATGAAATCCCACAAACAGTCAATGTGGTGAGTTTTCTCGTTTGTGATGCTTTTGTGGCGATGTGGGGTGCTAATGTAGCGGGGTGTGTGTAGATGAAGCATCCCAACGGAGACTCGACCACCTATGTCAAGGTGGAAAAGGGCAAGAAATAGGCGGTGCAATATCGCTATAGCTAAGTAGAGCTTATGAAGACGGAGCGGGGTTTAATTTTGTGAGCAGGTGGTTTTGGGGTGTTCAATGGGAATATGGGAAGGTGAGGTGGAAAATATGGGGGAAATGGGAAGTGAGGAATTCGGAAATCTATAGAATAGATATATGAAAAATAGACAAACATACACACTGAATTATATTCATTTCACACAGTAGAGACATGATAGGACAAGACAACCATCTTGTTCCCCTTCCCCGTCGTGCATCTCAAGGCGCGCATTGTAGATTAACTGCGCAGACTCACCACATCCCCGGGGGTGTGGTATACTATAACTCCTCTCAAGCCAGCCACCAAAATAACCAAATAAAAAAACAAATAAACTTACTAGGTACTAACGTCGCTTCATAACTTTTCATAGTAAGGCTGCATGTAATTAATGAGTTAAACAAAGATAAAAAAAAAAAAAAAAATCGCTTCACGAGGCAAGCGGCGGTGGGTGAGCGAGGCAAGACAGGCGCTTACCGCCAAGCCAAGCCAACACCACCCAGTCAGATACAGGCACCAATGCGCCACATAGCCGCGCTTCGCGTCACACAGCCGCGCTTCGCGCCACACAGCCGGCACTCTACTATATCCCTATCCCATGCGCCGGGCAGAGATCTCTCAAAATATTTCTCCCCATGGTGGCTCCGCCTGCTGCAGCGGCGACCGCGGCTGGGGCGGCGCGGGGGAGAGAGGGGGAGGGCTGGTGTGTGCGCGGGTATTTTGGATGGGGTGGAAAACATCTGCTATCAGATCTAGAGAGATCAGGGGCCATGAAAGCCCAATTACAAGGTATGTAGTTTCGGGTTCCTGCCTAACACACCCCGCCGCGCAAGAGGAAGAGTCAAGGCCGGTAAACAGATACTTTCGATTATACCGGCGGAGGTGCGCAGGGTTATTCAACAGTCTAGGCCCGTCTCTTTCCTCAGACGGCGCATGGCGGGAGATTATAGATATGGCGCGGTGCACTGCGCGCTTTGGTCTGTGATTTGTTCGATTTAGTATTTTTTATGGTCTTGCTACGCGCCTTGATCTATAATTCGTTCGGTTTATTATTTTTTTTTTGCGGTTTTTGCGATGGACAGCTAGCTCGACCTGTCGCCGGTACTGTCTAGATGACGAATATGTTTGGCTGGCGAATTGGTAGGTGGTGTCTTTTTTTGCTATAAAATGTATAGGATCTGATTATTCTTACTTTTCTCGTCAACAATTGTCCGTGATTTGCTTTAACTACGTCTACCTAGCCACCGTGAAAGTATTCCAGAATAAAACAGCCGTCGAGGCACTTCCACAAAGCTGTGCCGGAACGTGGCAGGCTTTGCCTCGCTCACCGCCGCTTGTTTATACGCCGCAGCGAGGGTGCGGCTAATTGGGGGGGGGGGGGGGACCCGGAGTGAGATAGGTTCATGCGTCTAGCTAGGTTTCTCTGTGAAGAGTCAGCGGTATCGGTGGCGGTATGAGTTTCGGGAGCCTAGTATCGGGCAGATATGTATATATAACTCCCTCCCGTCCCCCCCGAAGCCATTTCTTTCTCCATCAGCTCTATCAACTGTCATTCATTTTACCAGGTAGCTCCTTCTACCAGCCCATTCCCCCTTTCCCTCCTATTTTTCATTTTCTTCCCCTAGCAGCCGGTTCTGCTCTTTCCATTCCCTTTTCAATTTCCTTTTCCGTTACCAATTCCGTCCCTGCTCCTTCCACCTAACCCCCACCCCCTACAAGTACCATGAAGTTTACCACAATCCTCACCACCGCCATCCTCCTGCTCTCGGCAGCGGCCGACGCATTCCCACACCCAGTGGCCGACACCACCTCCCTAACCCTCAACCCCATCCCACATAGCAAGCGCTCCCCCGCCGCCACCGCGCCCAAAGCCGCCACCAAAAACAAGGCCGCCTCCCGAACCAAAACCACCACAAAGGCGAAGTCTAAGAGTATAGTTAATAAGGTCCAGTCTGGCGGCGTCAAAAAGAAGACCGCCGCCACCGCCGCCGGCGCAAAGGGGAAGAAGAAGACGGCCGCAAGCACCGGCGCGGCAAAGTCATGTCCCATGCCAGCCAAGGGCAAAGGCAAGGGCGGCAAGCTCGGGAAGCGCACAGGCGACGCCTGCGGCGCTCCGCCGTCACAGAAGGAACAGCTTGTAAATTGTGCTCCCTGCCAGGGCCTCCAGAAGCGGGGTAGAAACCAGAGGGAGAAGAAAGCTGCGGCGCAGCAGCTGACGAACCAAGTAATGGGGGGACCTGTTACGCCTGCAAACCCGCTGAGTGTTGACCATCTGGTCAGTGTGGGCGATTGTTGGACATGCCCAAGTATGTGCCCTTCATCTTTGATATTGATACCCACGTTACGTAGTGTATACACCATGGATATGCACCGCATACTAACAGCTAGAAAATTACAGGCAACAGGCCGGATGCTCCGGCTATCTTCAACGGCCGCCAAGTGAAGGAGGCCGCGGAGAAACTGGTCAGCATGAATGCTGCTAATGACCAGATCACGCCCGCTCAAGGAGGTCCCTGGCCTCACGACTTTCAGAACTTTGAGGGGGTAACAACGCCAAACGCCCAAGTCAACAGATATATTACCTTTCCGCTGCTTCAGGGGGGCGCTGTTTACACTGGGGCGGCGGGTCAGTTCGATGGCTTGTATCGTGTGACCGTAGGCGTTTCCGATACTAATAAGCCGATAACTCTGGACGTGGTGAGTATATTAACTCCCCCCCTCCTCCCCCGGGCGAAACTCTACGAACCATATTCGAAGGGTCTCCATGCGCATGCTGACGTGATGTGACTGTGCTTATTAGATGAGGCACCCGACGCTGGGTGAGCGTACTCCTGACAACAGAAATTCATACATAAGAGTGGCATCAAACAATGGTAGCTAGAGGGGGTGTGTGGGTCTAGAGTCGGGAGGTTTGAAGACTCGTGGGAGGGGACGGGGGTGAGGATGAGGACTCTAGATATTAGAACCTTGAATATATGCACAACTCTATATAGACAATTGACGATAGACGTCTTTTAGCTTCCTTCTTTTTTGAGTTATTCAGGTGCGAGTGATATATCTGACTTACATTTGCGGTTGAAAACCCCATCTTCGAATAAATCTATAGGAGGTTGGTGTTATTCCGAGGAGTGTCGGTGGAAGTAAGGTTGTGATAAGGTAAGGTGCGATAAGATAAGATCCAATCAGACACCTAGTCTGTTTCCATCCTCCGTGCTAAGTCCCGCTGCCGCCGCTGTTCCTGGACAAGATACATACTCTACATCCATGTAGAGCATTATTTTGTTTACTAATTATGGCCGACCCTCTCCACAGACGCACGTATGCGGCGCGGATATGCATGTCATGCGGGTAAATGCACACTTCAAGAGCCGCAACGTAACGCAACGCAACGCAACGTCGCCCTTGTAGATATAAAACCTTCATCAAAAGCCTCACGTCGCCGCAATCAGTGGTGATGCCGAAAAGCGCAATTGGACGTCTTGGGTGGCGAATACATGGTTGTGCCTTTGCACGGGGGGTCTAGAAGGTGGATTCTTTTTTTCGGCGGTGGTACATGGTGGTATGTGCTGCCCAAGAAGAAGTATGCGTCAATGCATCTAGTGCCCAGATATCCTAGTTCCTGCAACAGTTTAAAGCCTCACGTCGCCGTAGAGAAAGCTTTGTGAAACGATTACCATAGGGAACGGATTTCATGCGTACAGCGCAAGAATAATCGTAGGTCGCTGTCTAGAGGAGGATTCTGCGCTCGCAAGTTTCATGGATAGAAATGGTATCTGGTACGGCAGAAGAATCCCCACCCCCGGTAATCCTGATCTCCAACCCCGACCACAGCCAGCCACGCGCCACAGAGCATAACCGCCATATCCGCAATAGAGATAAAACCTCCGGGTTGTTTCCCTACTAGCGTAGCGTGCGGGATACTGTCGGTACTGGCGCGGATTGGCGTTACCGTTGTAACTTAAGGAGCACATGCGGCGACGGGGACCGTCTTTGGAGAGTACATTGTATGGTGGGTAAAAGTGAGCTTTCTGGCATTAGCTGGGACCGTCCTTGCCGCGTGCTACCATTTGTCTTCGTGGCACACAGCGGTTAGACCGCCTTATCAATCCCCTTTCAAGGTGGGCGTAAGGACGGAGCCACCGCGGGAGCGCTCGGCTCGGAGTATAAGTTTCTCCGCAGCGTATTGGTAATTGATATGCCGGTAGTGGTTGTTCGCCCAATGAACGCGGACAATATGGGTAGAGATATAAAACGCACCCCCTCAGTGACAATCGCCTTAATTCCCTCTCAATCCCACCCGCTGTCGATTCCCCAGTTGATTCGAGTAGCGGTGGTGGCCAGCAAGGATAAGATACCAATCCAGCTTGAGTATAGAGCTATATAATCCGCACTTGACTCACTTCTGCAAATCCCTGACTCCAGAACCCATCTCCGTTAAGATCCTCTCTTCTAACAAGTAGCGCCAAAGACTCTCGATATTTTACTACGGTATCTGTGCCTGGTTTGAGCGGCCACACACACCAACACGACACCGGCCGACACCGAGGTACAGCATCGTAGGATAGACCTGATACCGAGGCGCAAATACTCTGTCGCTGTTGAGTCCGGAAAGCTGGTAGCAATATCCACTGGAGAGGAGGAAAGGCGACAGAAGCAAGGGAGACAAAGAGCCGCGGTGTGGTGGACTCGGCCATGCCAAGACACAGAGAGAGCCACACAGCCAACGTCATCGGTTGTTTTGCTGGCGCGACATGACACCGACTGCCAACTGACTTCACTAGGGAGTGGTTAGTGACTGAAGTATCGATATCATCCGCTCTCTCTACGAATAGTCACGATGCCTAATCTTTTCCTCCCTCGCAAGCTGCACCCCTGTCTTGGAGACATCGCGTGTCACTCGGTCTTGGCTGACAAGACAGGGGTGAGTCACAATGTATCACTCATTCTTGGCGTGGGCTAGGTGGCGGTGTTGGCATGCAGCTCTTCTGGAGTAGTCAGCAAGATAGCCGGGTTCCAACCACGCGCACAACTGCTCCAGCAGAACCACCGAAATCGGAGTCTATAGTAACATCGGATTGGGAGGGCTATATAGGTAAGTATATTTACCATAGTTACCCCGTTAACAGTTAGGAAGGTAATATGAGTGTAACCATCGACACTTACGCACTCCCGGCCTCCCTCTTCTCCTCCTTCTTCACCCTCCTGTTTAATTCCCTTGAGCCCTAGCACCCGAAGTACATTATTCCGGTTTCCTGTTCTCTTCTGTCTTATATCAGCTCTTCGGGCACTACAAACAGGGTAGATATTTGTCCACCCCCCCCCGCTGGCTAATATTACCTACACACATCCTTTCGCTCTTGATCCCACCGTTTAGATACAGGTGTACAGTCATTTGCTTATAGATGGTCCTCATAGATGAGGTATAGATGTAGTTTCTTGTGTTTCTGCATGTAGTAGCACTGTCAATTCCCCAATAGCTAATTGGTTATAGATCCTACCGCTTGGGTATCTGTGAGTTTATTTTACGGGCATGAAATGACTCAAGCCTAGATATATATACTGTTGGTTCTCAGTCCCGAAAAATGCTGACCAGATTTCTTTCCCGGTGGTGCTCTCACAGAGTCGTGGTCTGGGCAGTCATGTTCTTATACTTTTGCCGCGTCATTCCTTCGCCATTATGCAAAAAGAGTGCATGTATGTATCTAGCTCCATAATTATTAACGACGATATATTGCAGAGAGGCCTCAATATTGTCCTATCAACCATGCCTCACCAGTACGCATCATTACCGCAGTAACTCCAGTCAGCACCTCCGCGACCATAGGAATTAAAGTGTCCAAAGGTACCACGACATTCCCCCGAAGGCTTTGAATCACCTTGGATAGATTATCCCCACTCGTTCGTATTAGGTCTAAGCAGCGGGTATGATGATATGACGGTGCGCGGTTTCCGTGGTAACTTACGGAGCCGCTTCGTCTCTTTACCGAGGCGTGTAATCCAAGAGGCCGATACCGACAAACAGTCGGGATATATACCGAGCTTCTATTGTTGTGACTAACAACTTGACTGATTAATACAGTAAGCAGTTCTTATGACACAGCGCTCGGTAGGGGCCTGAGTTAGGAGTTCTGAAATGACCGCATGTTGTACTTCATGTGTTAGAGAACTTGGGCTTTATTCCACCATATATAAGGGAGTGCCTTGTTCGTCCCTACCTTCTTCTCAGATTCGTCGGTAGAAATGGTCGCATATTAGGTGTGATCACTCTTCGTCAGCGAATAAGCACCCCAGGGATAGTACGGTCACGACCACGCACTCCTGGATCCATCACGCAACGCAACACCTCAGTCGGCCACCGCCCTCGCCTCATGGCAGTGCATCTTTTTTGATAGCTATCGCGCCTTGATTCTATCCTGCGTGAGGATTTGGCGGCATGGGGGGTCGGTGATCACTCAGGTGCAGTCACGCATTCCCGTGATGTGATTGGTCAATTCTACCGGCCGGGTATGACACATTCAATAATAATGCTTGTACCACGTACCAATTGGGCGACAGCCGCGGGTTGAATAAGCTTGCAGCGTTTGGTTCTATCTCCTACTGAAGTCAAATCTCTTTACTCGAGCCTGAATAATGCTTAATAGTATACCGTCGTTCTATATAAGGCTGCACGTGGGTCGTATCCGGAAGGAGTCATACTGGAAGAATCTTGATGAACACATATGACAAGCGTATCAATTTCCTGCGCGGGGGGCTCAAGGAGCATTGATGATGCACTTCTATTCCGGTGTGGGGTACCTCCAATTAATGTTCGGTAGAATGTACCCTAACTGAGACTTGTATCACTCCCTTATCACCCAGCCGTATATAAAGCTCAGCTCCCTAGACTTCAGCATCAGCCATTCCCCATACGCAACTCCGCATACGTAACTCCGCACACAGAATATCCTCTGGTAAAAATCTCAGATAAAAATGCAAAACACAGTCGACTACTCCAACGCCGCTGCCGGTCTCCGGATGCACACGGACTCTCTCACGGGCACCCAAGTCCAACTCACTGCCGCCATCGAGCTCGGCCGAAAAACAGGCCAAATGACTATAAGACGCGTGCTGAGGCGTTCGAGAAGATTGTCACGAGTGATATGCGCGAGGTGATCAAAGATTTGGATGATTATGAGGTGTACCTGAAGAATAGCGCGATCACGAAGGACGCGGAGTGTACGGCACTCGTAGCGGAGATCTGGGCGGTTGTAGGAAAGCTTAACCATGGTTTGACTGAGTTGGAAGACGTGGTTAAGAGTGGATAGGTTGTGACGAGGGGGATATGGAGGGTTGTGGTGGCTTTCGTTGGTCGTCCTAATTTTGTTGGGCTTTATGTTTTGTAATAGCTTTATTCTTAATTTTCGGATAATGCGTTCTTGGGTCGACTTTTAATAAACTTGTTAATCACTATATATATTCTTCCTGTAAGCTTGAGACCGTCCCCCCCGCCCGAGCCGGCGGTGCGTATGTACGTACCTGGTACTATAATAAGTATTCATACTACAATTAAGATTAGTCATATATATGAGATTATTCCACTTTGACAGAAGAAACTCCAGGCCATGGCGGATGCCCCTAATCTTGTGAAATACACGGCCTTTCAGTCGAGTCATCCACTACTATTGCACTGGAATTATCATCTTAATGACTGTGATAATCATAGTTGCTTACTTCCTGCTAAGTGTCGGAGTATGTAGCTATAGCTAAAAAAAAAGGGGGGGGGGGAAAAGGAAAAAAAAGAAAACTGTTTAGCTTTGAGACTTGCCTAGAATGATTCTGGGGACTTCTTGGATGCCGAAGGCACTTCTGCCTATTGTAGATCTTGCCATGTGGCCGATATGTGTCCGAATGATCCCCGAGTTGTGCCTTCATGTGGAAGAGTGCATATATCTGATTGATAACTCGGTATGAGTGGAGCGAGTAGAGACGCTTCAAATCGAATGACAACCCATGAAGACATCCCATCCGCGCTTGATATCTTAATATCTCTTTCCATAGAATATAAGTGGTATAGATTGGCTAGACGGTAGTGTTGGAAGCTTTGACATCTAGTACCCGGAGCAGAAAAGCTCACCGGCTGTTACATCACCACTAATAGTGTTTTTTTCGTGGCTGTTCAACGTTCTTCGCATTCACAGCATGATTATTTTCGACGGGCTGGTATGAGAATGGGTGGGTTGAGCTATGAAATAATTTAATTAAATGATGAGAATGATAATAGCTGCGATGACAATCCGAAGCGGGAATTTACAGTGTGTTTATCTCTTCTGGCCACGTTATCCTGCCCGCCTTTGAGTTACGTTTCCTCCGTTGATTCCACTCGTCTCAATTTGTCATCAACCTGCGCCTGCATGGACTAGATCTAAGCGCGCCACAACGGTCTCCAGAACATCTAGACAACACAACGTCATGTCCACTCTAAGTCGCACTTCTCTTCAAACTTTCCAATCACGCACCTTGGTCGTCAAGAATGGTCCATACCCTTTGTTCCGATCTCTATCCCGAAGTTACTCTAGTTGGAACCGTGTCTCCCTGGTTGTGAGGAATCTAGCTGATGGTAGAACATGTGTTCACGGCAAGTACTGCCAGAACATCCATTGCAGGATGCGGACCTCATATCCATGTCTGTAAGCGGGAGAAAATTCTTGGGAATAATAAATCCTATCTTCTGTATAGAATCAGGACCGTATCGAGCATATCTTTGTTTGTTAAGTGGGCGGGCTCTCAGTGTTGATATACGAATCAATTTCACAGTTGGCCGATCCCTATGTACATGTACTTTCAACGAACACGTTCATGGCGGTACATCCATCGCTCGGGGGAGCCGCGAGTACCACGCGTTCGGTTGTTTCAAGAGCATGGGTGAATTGAGGAACAAAATGTTTTTTTTGGAGGGGTTTACAACGTTTAGGTATTAATATCACAAGTAGAAATATCAAACACCCAAGCTCCCAGTTCACTAAACCTCCATCACCGCCTCCTTCTACTCCCCAGATTCCCCACCCTCAATACCGTATCCTCTATAAAGGGTGGCGGCAAATACTTCGGCCTCTCCCTATTCTCCCCCTCCTCTCCCTCCGCGGCCTTCAACGCATTTCCCAAATCCGTCAGAACATCCGCCACATCTCTCCTTCCCGCCTCCAGCTTTGGCAAGTCCTTTGCCCACAGCTCCCTCCTCGTTGCCCCCATCTGGACACGTGCAAACACGCTTTGATGTCGTGCTAGCCTCTCTTCCAGCTCCCCCGCAGCCTCCTCCAGTGCCGCCGCCTGTTCAAACTCTGGTTCGCTCCAGTCGCGGTCGTCGGAGATGTTTACGAGCTGTGCTGCGTATTTCATGATAGTATTGGCGGCATGGAGGTCGGTGATGACTGCGGCGCGCCAGGTAGCATGGTCTGGTGGGGGATTGTATGGTGCGCTGAGGTTGGGTGGGTGACGCGGTGGGAGTGGGGTCATTGTTTTGGGGGGGGGGGGGGGGTAGTGAGGATCCTGTTGTTGGTATGCTGACAGTTGGATATGGTGGTGGTTCGCATATAGTGTTGGAAGGACGCCGGACACCGTGACTTCATTTTTAAGGTTACGTGACGGGGCGAATGTATCAATAGTAGGTGATGAGGTAATTTCTAGCTATGTATGTTCAGGAATACATAGCAAACTTAATTGCTATATACTGATATCCCACATTGAAAGCCCTCGTCTCAAGCTTAAGCTCTACTCAGATATGTAGAATCCAGTACAGTACAGAGGGTATACGCACCCATTCTCTCCCGGAAGACAAGAAAACACCCATCCACGGGGAAACTACGAGTGAGATCGGATCGGAAGCGATGCCACATCTCGCATCCAACTGACGCGATCAGAACCGACCAAGAAAATCAAAATCGTTCGAGTTTTTGTGTAACTGTATATATTCCGAAGTTGAAAATTTGATTCTATGCTGCAATTCAGCCCACAGTATGAGCATTCTACATGACCGGTTAGAGAAGGAGTTTATGGGAGCTTGGGGGTGTATTGAATGTCTTTTCGCCATTGTATTCGGGGATTTTGTCTATACGGTGATTAAATCATCACCGGTGGTCACTCGGTATCCCTTCTTTCTGGACTCTGGAGTCGTGGGGCGGGACAGTGCGGTAATATAGAGTTGGTTCGTGTCAAGATATGGTGGTAAGTGAAGAGGTTTGAGATCTGGAGCTGGGTTTATATGCTTGTATCTCTCACTGGTCATGCCCAGGCTACCAAAGGGACGTGAAACGAAATTGTTTAGTGTAGTTGAGGAGAGAAAAAAAGAAAAAAAGAAACAACAAAGCAATATTATAAAAATTGTGATGATCTACTCTCGAGACAATGCAAAGTTAGAGTGATCCACTATGATCTAAATTAAGTAGCTACACCATGAACGTTGCACCGAATTAAACAAAAAGAAAATGAACGTCGCACCTAACTCGACTTGACTGTCTTCTACCTCCGATGCTTGATAGACTCTTACTCGTATTATTGGTGTCTATATAAGACAGACATTTCTAACGCTTGGTATGATAATATTACTGCGGCAGTCTAAAAGTTGCTGGGAGTCCTTTCAGCGATGCGAAGGTTTTTCTCACAGAAGAATATCAGGCTAGATATCGTAGAGCTGGCGACACGGTGATAACGCAAGCCCGGAAAGCCATGTGAAGACCTCACCACTCACCGGACAGTATCAAATCTTCAAAACGAACTCGCTCTACAGTGTACATGGGATTCATATGAGATGAAATAGTAATGTATTCACATATTATCACTCGCAAACATCAATTCAGAGTCTGGTGTTCCTATATGGTTGGTTATGAGGGTTCGATTACGTCTGAGCTCCCCCGCCAGTGGAATAGGCTCAGCGTCTGTATTATGTTTGGTTAAGGGTTTAAAGAGACTCAGATGAAACTAGGCTCTTTCACAGGAATATTGCCGTCACACTAGATCATTCAATCAAAAAATGAAATGGGAAATCCACCACCAGACATGAGATCCTCACAAACGGCGAAGGAAATTATTACATGTCGGACGAAACACCGAGGTCTGAAGAGCAAACAAAACGGGCTGATCTTTCTACATTTAGAGATACCACAACTTCCATATGTTCGGCAATATACTATTCCTCCCTTTTTCCAGTAATATTGACTTCCCCAAAAGTGAGTTCAGCTACATGCGCTTGCATTTCCCTTGGTTATAACCTCTCCCTCGAATCGGAGGGATTATGTCACCACTTAGAAAGTGGTCGTCCCGACCACCGCCGAAACATCCCTTGAATACTACCAGGACTCGTAGATGGATATGGTGATATAGCTCATTACTACCTACTACTCCGCGCGCAACCCCCCCCCCCCCCCCTCGCCCCACACAACAGGTGGGAACATATGGCAGATACCGGTATTACAGCGCCCAGAAAAAATTTAACCATGTGCCCATCAAGTCCTCTTTCCCGTGCCCCCATCAGAAGGCGGGCAGGTAACATGTTCGCTCCGTTTGTTTCTCGTTGCCATGCGCCCCGGAAGAAAAAAAGCAACGAACCCGTGCCGCGTCGTCGAGTAGCATCAGGTTCGGTGCTAGATTTCACCTTCACCAAACCGGTCAAAACCGGTCATCAGAGTGGACATGGCTAGTCCTAGCTACCTCCTGGTATAATTCGTCTAGCATTTCCTAAAGGTTACAGGGCCTGTAAACACATTGACCCAAGAAAACCGTGGTAAGCGCGACATTGTTGTGGATATGACTTCTACCCTTTTTGTTAGCCGCAGTACTATGGAGGACTTGGGGCCACAGTACTATGGAGCATCTCACGTACCAGAGAAAGTCAATTGCTTCCCTTCCTCCAACGCCCTCTCCTTCTCCTTCGTTGAGCCGTCCTTTCTCGGCTACCCTAAAAATACAAAAGATGTATTGCTCCTCCGAACAATGCGCATCGGTATCCACTAAAGACCTAAAAACCTTGACGTTAGTCCGTGTAATTGAGATCATAGAGAACAAAACATACCTAGAGCATAATCGTAACTTCCATTCCCCGCCATAGCTTTCTCGAGTTGCCACAAGCTCCAGTACTCGTCCGATGAGTCACTAGGCACTGCCCATCGCACTGACGACCTCCTCGTAGCCTATAGTGTAGACTTATACGTCCGTTCTAAACTTGAATATGGAAATAAGAGAATAGGGAGAGCCATGAGTCAGAGTAAGAATGACCGTCGAGACATGACGGTGTCGCTGCCTGCCTCGGGTGCATCGTGAGAAAACCACTCGTACAAACCCCCAGGTGAGGATGGAAATAGGCGAGCGAGGTGTATTCTGCAGCTCTATAGGAGCATGGTGAGCTTAATTATCCCTAAAGGGCGAAGGGGACTGGGTGGTATTTGGAGTAGATGGCAGGGTAGGCATACCTCGCTTCAGCGGTATCGAAGTGTTCGGAGTCGACGGTTACCTCAGAATGTCAATCGCCTTGGAAGCAGAGATGAGCCCTGAGTGGACTGGTGGGGTATGTGTCAGATAATAAGGTTGCTGTGGTTAAGTTCCTTCAGGCTCGAGTTTTGTCCACAGTCGGTTTCGTCTTCGTCAATGGTGGTGAGAGTGGTGTTGGGAGGATGTCGCGATGAGGTTGTGCAGCTCAAGGCCGTGCGGCTCTGCTGTAGGTTGTTAGGTTTAGCACAAGCATCATGAGGCTCTGCGGGAGCGAACCCCACCACTCCACCCACTAACCCATACTAACTAACCGAACTCTCGTCAGAAATCCCTAGAAATACCAAAATGATGCGCGACATGATGAGGGCAAAGCCTCACGAGTATAACACGCTGCAGTCCTGGCCGAACTTGCCTCTTCTTGCGCTGGATCCTCGGTGCGCAACTCAACCACTATGATAAATCACTCTCTCTGGCCCTATCGTGTAACTTTTGGGGACCGAGATAAGATGAGATCGAGTAGCTTGGAAGTGGTACAACCGACTTCTTCGCTAGATCACAGCCGACGTAACACAGTAAATTATGGATGTCGCTCACTGCCTTCGCATGAGCGGACAGAGGGGTTGAAAGGTCTTTTTTATGGGTGGGAGGAATGGTGGTTCTTGTAAGAGTTTGAATCTCGTGACTATTATATTGACGAAGTAGAAGACTTTGAGGATGAAATAGGACGCGGTGTGCTCCCTAGGTATTGTTGCGCATTAAGCAGGAGCCAAAGATTTTGAAACAAGGTCGGATGCACTGGACGAGACCCCTTGAAATAAGTTATGGTTCGACGGTTTCGCAAGTCGTCAGGAGATGACCTATAATTCGTGCGCGTAGGGGGACAAGGGAAAGTCATGCGCTTGCGCTGGGAGTGGAGGAACAAGGGAAAAAAAACTGGAGACGCGGGGAATCGAACCCCGGACCACCTCTATGCTAAAGAGGTATTATACCACTAAACCACATCCCCATGTCTTTCGTATCTTCTCAGCCTATACTTAACTAAATTTTCAGCTCCTGTTACTGAAACCAGAACACTGTCGCGTTGACATCAAAACTAGCAGTCCTCCACTTCTTGAAAAAACAGCCTCTAGAAACACATCACTCCGGGCTGCCCTCTCAAGCGATCAGGACTCTGGTCAACCTTTCTTTTTACTCCCAGAGCGCCAGAGCGACATGAACAAAGCTTCTCCGACTGTGAACAGGTTGTAGCCTTCGCTTAGAATTGCCCATTCTTGTAGATACTCATACCGACTTCATTGACCTAGGTAGAGGCACGTGTATACCTCAGTTCGCTTGATTGCCCTCCTTGCCGGGCTGAAGCTGGTGTAACAGCTGGTGAGATTTTTATCCATGTCTTGGCAGGACGAGTCAACCGCGAGCGTGGGTTAGGGTTCTCCAGTTCCCTGCATAAAGTATCTCCACTCCACAATACAGCCTGACAACATCAGGTCTCGCGGGGGTTTTTTTTACCTTGGCATCAATGTTCTCTTGCTAGCTGGAGCAGTTCTCGGGGGCCGGAACAGAGGTATTCCATGACACTTGGCAGGTGAAATTACTCTTTGGTTTAACCCAATAATAGTTCTGCACCTCTGGCGACAGCGTTCCTTCAATGACGTCGGAAGGAGAACAGAACCAAAATTAAATGAATGGCTTGCCATGAGCTTCAATTCCAGTTGATATTATAGGAGCGCGGAATGTCACTCTTCTCCAGATTTGAACAGAGTGACGGAAGGTATACCCGTCGTTTATCCCATTTTTGCTGACAATTCCAACGTCTCACATTGATAGAAATGTATCCTCCTTTCTCTGTTCCAACCGGTAGGGCGAAAGCCCACCCCCGGTGTTTTTATTCGGCGGGGACAGCTCGGGATTACCGTGGACTGCACTTGATTTTCATGGGTAGTCACAGGCCTTGATTCTATTGGGAGTGCTTCCGACCCCTATATCCACCGCAGCGAGCCTGGGAATTTAAAGTCCACAGAAGTAGATAACTTGATGGAAGCCCTGTTCGACTCTGCTGGTGGTGCTCTATATAGCAGCGCCGAAACCTCAGGGAACCGTATCCATAGCACGCCAGGAGACTCGGCTGCCTATTTCCATGGTGCCGAGAGGGAAGTGGTCATTTCTCTAGCTCGTCCCGGACGATTTGTTGACTGGTTTTAGCTATAAGTAGCTCGTTGATGTAAATGCAATCAGAGGACTACGCGCAAATCAGGATGAATTGAGGAGTAAGCAAAACACAAACCGGAGTTCACCCTTGAGCTCACAGGTTCAAATATCATGCGCCGCGACCCATAGATAGGAAGTAGAAACTATCTACCCTTTATAGCTCTACTTAAACATACTCAGGAAGCCATCCCATCGCCGGCTCGCATCAATATCACCGACCCAATCTTCCCCGAGCTTGTGACAACCTATGGTGATAGACGGAGAAAGAGGTTTCTGTAATCACAAGGAGAACAATAATCCCTTTGTAACTTTAGGATTTAGTCCCTCCACTAACAATCATTTCTGGTATGACCTTCGTTGACTGGGGTGTAGGTGGTCCTGAAGTACCAAACCGAGGATTGTTCGGGCAGTTGTAGTCACGGCTTCTAATCCCTCCTTTTCTCTTTCGTTTTGGGGTTCGCCGAGCTGAACTTTTCTGGGTACGTATGTAACTTTAGCGGGGTGCGTTACTTGTTTCTGCACACAGTGGAGCGTAAGATAAGATAAAATAGCATTGTCAATGATCGATCTGTCATGCTCGTCGACCGTCATGTACCCGTCGCACCAATGTAAAAGCACTAGAGCGCCAGACCAAATAGCAATCTAGCCTTCTCGTAATTCTCTCTATGTATGTAGGCTTTGGCTGTGTGGGTTGTATCTTAACGGCGGAACGCATAACAGGCGCCACTATGGGGGTAGGCCGCCGGCCGTATGTATCTTGTGGGCGAAATTTCCATGCAACCGTCCGCCCGAATGCTTTCTCTTCTCTTTTTTCTTGCCAAGCCAAAGCAGCCGCTTGTCTCAACTCCATCTCACCCCCGACGCCGCAACCTAACCACACCAGGAATCAACGCCGCCCTCAGTTGAACCCTCCGCCATTCCTATCCGCCCTACAAATACCAAAAAAAAAATCGTAAAATGCTGGCTGCTAATCAATGACTGGCAGATCATACTGGTTCCAGAGGGGGTCGAACCCTCGACCTTGGCGTAACATGCTCCGGAGAGATATTAGCACCACGCGCTAACCAACTGAGCCATGGAACCGTGATATTATGATCGCGCTAATAATTTGAACGCGCCGGCGTTCCCACGTGTATTCTCAGCGGTGGAGGGATTGGGAGTTGAGATTGCGGGCGACAGCAGGAGGTTGTTGGAACAGGATGTTAGGACACAGAGAATAGGCGACCAAGCTGACCGCGGTATTGCAATATAAACCCCTCAAGCTTGAGCGTTCAGAGGCATACCGACAGACCCGCTAATGACCTCTTCGCATGCTGCCATCTCCGCGCTCCCAGAGCTGGGCTTCGGTGGCACCATGGCTTCGAAAATAACCTGCGAGAGTTTAGCTTCTGCCGGAGTTGAAAACATATTGGGGTTTACCCCCACTCGTGGAGCCGGGGTGATTTGTGATGGCATACCGCATGAATACCTATCATGGAACTGACAGGTCCTCGGAGTAAATGTTGAGCTGAATAGAGTTCCCAGAGGTTCGGGCAGGTTGAAAGAGGTGATCTCATCGGGTGTTGCCCTGGAGGAAGTGGAACAGCGTTCGAGCAGTGAGCTGAAGCTTCCTGATTCCTTTGCTTTATTTATTTGGAGCATCCGTACGGTAGTACGACTAGTTGAGGGGTATGGTTTTGTAGTCTTATAATTGGCTGAGTGGGGGACTCCTGCTGCCTGAATCGAGAGACTTTTAGAAATCGTAATTTATGCAACTTCGCCAGCTCGTACTACAATTTCAAGGTTACATTTAGCGCCGAAGGTGGAGTAGCAGCGATAATTGGCAAGAAACCAAGTTTTGAGAACTTCTGAATATAAGGTGAAAGGAGGAGGACTCTCGTCGCCGATTCGAATATAGAAGATGAAGGGGGAAAAAAGCTCTGCAATAACAGATCTTCCTGGTCGTGAAAACGAGGCAATTTTATTCCAACTCCAAATTTCCTCCACGTTTTCTGAGTGTTCCGGAAGACTTAGGAGCTCGGTAAATTGGATTCGGAGACCTAGGTACACGCCTGTACTGCCGGGAAGCTCGGTTTCTACATGTGCACGTGAAGGTTAGTTACAAGTGTTCCGGTATTTGTATTCATACAGACTTGGGACGTACAATAACCTCAACACAGAGCTGCACTACTTGTTTCGGAGCACTATGCGCTCACCAGGGGGACCTGTTCTTCTCGCTGCCCGTACTGAGGGACCACCGGTGACCCCGCCTCCAGGTGCGCTAGAATCCCCGCATTGTTCTTTGTATGTTGTGTGCTGTTATGTGTTAGTTGATGTTGTAGATGTTGATTCTTCACCTCCACCGAAGCACTTCAGGGCAGCTCCTCCGCTGTGGTTGCGGCCTGAACGACGAGGCGCCGCATCTCGGGGGGGGTGGTGATTGAAATGACGAAGAATGGAGCATCTGTGTATGTGCATGAGCTCAAACTTGTGTGTCGAAAGTTGAAAAAAATAAACCACACGTACCACAGCTTTCCCGACTGTTACCCACTTCACCGCCCCACCTTTCAACCTTCCCTGACACAGATCCTGCTGTGCTCGGAGCCTTTCCGCTGACGTTTGACGAGTGGTTCTATCATTAGTATCGACTTAGGCTCGTCCCCAACCGTCTACTTCCATGCTTCCAGAGCTTTCTGCAAGTAACGGGCTGGGTACGAGACTAGTATCGACTAGCTTGCGGCGGTACTGAAGAAACCCAGGCTTGGCAGTCGGCTTGAAACTACTCTCCGCACTTACTCAAGATTGCGAAGCCTGGATGTAGACCCCGAGTCGGAGGTTTTCTGTAGCAAGGCTACTTTAGCACATCTCGATGGATGGTATGGGTAAAGGAGACAGCTCCTAGACACTACTGTATGGAATTACCCCTACTACCCCCCCCCTAGAGAAAGTATGTAGGAGAAGTAAAGTAATTGATCGTGTTATTGTTCTAGCTAAGGGGGAATGCCCCGTATTTATACTAATGAAAGGTAGTACAAAGAGAAATACAATGAGTCATGGACGTGTGAGTAAATAGAATGACTAATAGGAAAGTGAGTCATACGCCGATGACAAATACTATAATGAAATGGTGAGAATCTTCCAGAACTATGAAACGTGCCGAGCGCCCTATTTCAAGACTTCCCCTCGTGAGCCACAGTGAATAGTAGAAGAAAATAAAACATGTTTGCCTTTATCCAATCCCTTTGTGAGTAAATCCGCCACGTTCTCGTTCGTAGAAATATATTCCAGTTCAAATAATTCATCCTCAAACCGTTCCCGAACAAAATGAAAGTGTACGTCAATGTGTTTAGACCTTTTATGAAAGACAGGATTTTTAACCAAAGAGAGAGAGCCGTTGTTGTCACCTCGAAGAATGAAAGAAAGATTTGGTTTTCGTTCCAGCTCGTGGATTGCGTTCCTTAACCAGATCAGTTGTCGACTGGTGTCCGAGAGGGCCATGTATTCCGCTTCAGTTGTAGAAGTGGCGACAGATCGTTGCTTATAAGAGCGCCAGGAGATGAGGGCTTCCCCTAGCATGAAGCAGTGACCGGTGAATGAGCGGCGATCGTCGATGTCGGAGGCATAGCTTGCGTCGCTGTAGCCAATGAGTGCAGTTGGTCGCGTTTTGGTGTAATGGAGTGACCAATCGAGGGTGCCCTTAAGATAACGGAGGACGCGATGGACTGCAGCTAGATGAGCCTTGGTGGGACAGGAGGAAAATTGTGAAAGCATGGTGACGGTGTAGGCGAGGTCGGGTCTAGTGCCGATTACTGCGTACATGAGTGAACCGATTATTGACTGATAAATTGTTGGATCGTCGATTTTCTCAGCTTCCGTTCCTTTTTGGAGGTGGACGTTATTGTCGATAGGTGTTGCCACAGGTCTGGATTCGTCGAAGCCGTATTTGATAAGTACACGCTTGAGATAGGCTTCCTGTGATAGGGCAATGCCAGTCTTAGTGTGGATCAAGTGGATTCCGAGTGCCCAGTTGGCTGTGCCAGTTTCCGTCATTTCGAATTCAGAGTGGAGGAGGAGGCTGACACGGTTTTTGCGTTCAACGGACCAGTAGAAGATGAGGATATCGTCTACGTATATCGCGATGACAACTTCCCCTGTCTTGTGTATGAAGACACAAGGGTCGAAGTCTGCTTTTCTGAATCCTATTTTGATTAGCGCTTTTGAGATGCGGGCATACCATTCCCTTGAGGATTGTTTGAGTCCGTAGATGCATTTGATTAGTTTGCATGCTTTGCCGGGAGTGGGATAGCCTGGAGGAGATTTCATGTAGATTTCTTCCTTAAGTTCGCCGTATAGAAATGCGCTTGTGACGTCCATCTGATCGTATTGGCCGCCGGTTTGAAGGCAGCGAGCGAGGAGTAGTCTGATGGATTCGTATCGGGTGACGGGGGCATAGGTTTGATCGAAATCTTGACCAGGGACCTGTGAGAAACCTTTTGCGACTAGTCGGGCTTTGTACCGTATGGGGTTGCCATCGGGCCCGAGTTTAATTTTGTATACCCATTTGCAGTCAACTAGTTTGCGGTGGTCCGGTGTGTTGACCAGATTCCATGTGTTATTCCTTGCGAGTGAGTCGAGTTCAACTTTCATAGCATTCTGCCACTTTTCGGAGTCAGGACTGTTCATCGCTTGGTGGTAGTTTGTTGGTTCTGTTAGGGTAGTGTCATGCTGAATGTTGTGTCCGTATCTGACCGGAGGTTTCCGTTCCCGTACTGGGTTACGTCTCGGTTGATCAGTATCTGTTTCATTATCATCATGCGGGGTACGTTCAGTGGCGGGCCTCGTATAGCCGGCCCCCACTATACTTGCGTGGTCTTCCGAATCAGTGTCGGAGAAATGTTCCATGGTTTCGCGCATTATTTGTTGGTTGATCATGTCGTCGTCACTTGGGTCGTCGTCGTATGTTCTATGTTGTTTTGGTGTTGACGGACGTGAGGGTGGTTCTTGTTTGATCTCGATTTGTTTTGGTTTAGGGGGTGTGTCGGTTTTTGTTTTGACTTCGATTTCTTCCCCTACGGATGTACCTTTAAACCTAAAATGACGAGAGAGAACTACTTTCCTTTGTGATGGTATGTAGACGCGACAGATTTTTTCAGAATCTCCGTATCCGCAGAATTGTCCCGTTATAGCCCTAGCATCCAGTTTTGTTCCAGCTGGTCGTGCTTCGACGGGTATGTGTATGAACATGGTTTCACCGAAGGATCGGAGGTGCCCAATAAAGGGTTTCTTGCCGGTGAGTGCTTCGTATGGTGTCATATTCGGGAGTGATTTGTGCGGTAGTCGATTTTTGACGTGTGCCATGGTGTTGATCGCTTCTGCCCATAGATTTTTTGGGAGGTTGTGGTCGAGCAAGGCGGATCGTGCCATTGTTGCTATAGTCCTGTTAAAGCGTTCTGCTGTTCCATTTGACTCGTGAGAGTAAGGTACAGTGAATTCATGCTTTATGCCTTTAGAGGCAAAGAATTGTTGGAGGTCATTGGAGATGTACTCGCCACCGTTGTCGCTTCGAAACCGTTTGACCGTTTTGTCCAATTGATTTTCCATGTATGCGATATATCGTTCCGTGGCAGCTGCTGCATCTGACTTCTTTTTAAGGAAGTAGAGGTGAGCGTACCTAGAGTAATCGTCGATGAAGGTGATATAGTAACTAAAACCGCCCAGAGAAGGAGTCGAGAACTTGCCGCTCAGATCTGAGTGTATTAGTTCCAGTGGTTGTTTGGATTGTGGTTCGGTGAGGGGAGCGAGGTGAGATTTGGTTGATTTAGCGAGTTCACATGTGTTGCATGTTTCCATGTGACCAGATGTGGGGAGAGACTTGGGGTCGGCGACCATGGTGCGAAGCCGTGAGAGCGAGGAAGCGGGGAGATGTCCAAGCCGTTGGTGCCAGTCATAGAAGCTGGTGGCGGCAGAGAGGTGTGCGCAGGGTTCCTTGCTTTCAAAGATGTAGAGACCAGTACTATTTGCGTTAGCGATCCCGATGATTTCCTTGCTATTCGGTTTGTAGATGGTAAAGCCGTTTTCTGTCCCAATTGTTGTGAATCCCTTTTTAGCGATGCAAGACCAAGACATCAGGTTGGTATTGCCTAGTTCGGGGATCAAGAATACGTTCTGCAGAGTGATCAGGCCATGTGATCCGTTGATGGTGACGTTGCCAATTCCGGTTATCTGGAGTTTGCGACCTCCTCCAACAGTAACTGTTCCAGTGTGGGGAGTGGGGTCGGTAACCAGCGTTCCGGTCATGTGGTTGGTTGCACCAGGGTCGAAGATCCATGCCTTGTTGTCGGTGGTGGAAGGTCCTGCAATGAAGCCAAAGTAGTCTTCCATGGTAATGTCCGAGGTGTCATCTGAGAAGTTGTTGAGGTCGAAGTCAACCGGCATTGTGAATACATCGGTTTCTTCGAGTGCGGGAAGGCCAGAAAGATCGGGGATCCAAGAGAGGTCGAGTTTTGTGTGAAATGCAGTACCAGATGCGACGTTAAGGTTGCCAGATGCAGCGGACTTCTCCTTGTCTCTGAAAGCTTTGAGTTTTCGGCAATTTTTGTGCGTGTGGCCTTTTGCATATTCTCCATTCTTGGTGCACCAGGTGCATGTGACGTCCCGATTTC